CAGACATTCTCAGTAGCATCAAGCACATAGCCAAGAGATAAAAGCAACACAAACATCTATTGACAGATGATAGATTGTCACTGAACCCCTCAGGGAACACCAACCACACAGCCTTAAAAAGGAAAGTCTGACACATGCCTCAACATGTATGCACTCTGATTTTGTGCTCAGTGAGACTAGTCCATCACCAAGAGACAAATATGGTGTGATTTCCCTTATGTTAGGTATCTAGTGTAGAGAGGCCACAGGCAGAGAAAGCAGAACCCTGGCTGCCAGGGCCTGGTGGGGAGGAGCCGGGAGACGCTGACTGCCGGACACAGAGATTCCCTTCGGGAGGATGAAAATGTTCTAGAGGTCTGATTCACAACAATGTAAATACACCTAACACTGCCGAACCACACACTAAAAATGGCCATAGTGGCAAATTCTATGTGCTTCTAGTTACAACGTTTAAGAGAAACACCATGACACACTCGGCAGAGCAGGAGTTAGGGCCCCACCAGCTCAGCCCCTCGCTGGGTGCCCAGGTGAAGCTGCAGTCTGGCTGCAGGCTCCCCATCTCTATAAATGAGGGAGTAAATAACACATGTCCTAAGACGCTGGCCTGAGCTTACAGGAGAACTGCCAACACAGAAGACCTGCACAGCTAGAGGGTGGCCCCACCCGCAGGGGCTGCATCTGTGTACCACATCATCAGAGCTGCCCCTGGTCCCATGAAGGAGAGGCTCCCTGAGCTGAGTCCCTTCCACTCCAGGTGACCTGCCAGGAGTCCTCACGGGAAGGGCTGTGATCCCCACTCTGCTCACGAGGAACCTGGCTGGATCAGGGTTGTCATTGTTCAATTGCTGAGTCTTGTCTGACACTGAGACCACGAACTGCAGCAGGCCAGGCTTCCTTGTCCTTCACCATCTCCCAGAGAAATGGTGGTTGTATTCCCCTTACCAGTGAAAACTATACGTGATGTCCATTCCAGTGTGAGAGCCCCTAAAACCCTGTGACCGCCTGTCCTTCACAGACAGGAGCCAGGGCTGGTGGTGAGAAAACAAATCTGAGGACATGGAAACAGAGGGGCATAATATAGAAACAGGCCACAGGACAGTTTCCCAAAGGTCAGTTACATAATCAGACTAAGAAAGATAATTTTTACATTTACAATCTACATTTCCCAAAACTGGTTTAAAAGGCTATCTAATCTCAGGCCTATCTTTATATATATATATATTTATTTATTTACTTGGCTGGTTCAGATCTTAATTGTGGCATGTGGAATCTAGTTCCCTGACCAGGAACTGAACCCAGGCCCCCTGCATTGGTAGCTCAGAATCTCAGCCACTGTACCACCATGGAAGTCCCCTCAGGCTTTTCTTCAAATGAGATCACTTCTGTTGTTTACTTGCTAAGTCAAGTCTAACTCTTGGCAACCCTACGGACTTTGCCCGCCAGGCTCCTCAGTCCATGGGATTTCCCAGGAAGAATACTGGAATGGGTTGCCATTTCCTTTTCCAGGGGATCTGCAAGGATTGAACCTTCATCTCCTGCATTGGCAGGCAGGTTCTTTACCACTGAGCTACCAGGGAAGCCGCTCAAACAAGGTCAGGCCCTCCTAAACACTCATTTTCATACTTAGCTGTCTTTCAAAGCAGTTTTAACTCTAATACAACATATTTCTTGGGCTTCCCTCATAGCTCAGTTGGTAAAGAACCCACCTGCAATGCAAGAGACCCGGGTCCAATTCGTGGGTCTGGAAGATCTGCTGGAGAAGGGATAGGCTACCCACTCCAGTATTCTTGGGTTTCCCTTGTGGCACAGCTGGTAAAGAATCTGCCCACATGAGGGAGACATGGGTTTGATCCCCGGGTTGCCAAGATCCCCTGGAGAAGGGAAAGGCTACCTACGCACTCCAGCATTCTGGCCTGGAGAATCCCATGGACTGTATAGCCCATGGGGTCGCAAAGAGTAGGACACGACTGAGTGACTTTCACTTTCTTTCAACAGATTTCTTATTTCTTTCTCCAACTAAGATAGAAAAGAGCCAATCAATGCCCTCTGTGATGCTAAAAGATGAAATCATATGTCAACTACACTGAATCTGAGACCTCTGCCTCCATCGTGCATTAGAGCATCCATTGCCCATCACCTGCCAGAGACCTATCACCTAACGTGGCAACATCACTAAGCATCTTCCATGCCAACAGTGTAGACAGGGTCCCCCAGGAGCCCAGGACACAGGCTGAGCTGAAAGTGAAACCACGCACCTCAGACTGGGACTCAAACACACTGAGCTGGGAGGCCAGCCCAACCTAAACCCTGACTGGGGCTTGAACCTGAAGTCTTTTAACTGGGATCACACACCTTATTTTGACACTTAATGAAGCTCAGGTTCTGGATGTCTCATCACAGAAAGAATTCAGTGAGAGACAAAGTCTAGGTAAGAAGAGGATTCATTTAGAAACACACTCTACAGATGGAGTGCAGACCACCTCAGAAGGTGAGAGTGGCCCCAAAATATGGCGTGGCTAGTTTTCATGGGCTGGGTAGTTCCATAGGCTAATGAGTGGGAGGATTATTTCAACTATTTTGGGGAAGCATCGGGGATTTCCAGGGATTGGGCTACTGCCCCCTTTTGGTCTTTGGTGGTCATCCTGAAAACTGTCATGGTGCCTGCGTGTGTCAGTTAGCCTGCTCAGGTGTTACAATGAGCATACACTGAGGCTCAAGGTCTAGTGGAAGTCAACTCATCTGCCATCTTGGACCCTTTTGGTTCTAATCATCTTATGTCACCTCCTCGAGCTATGTCATTCTTTCACAGGGTTGCACCCTGCCCCCTCCCCATTTTAGGAGGAGGTCAGAGGTCAATCTAGTCACAAACAGCCCTGGGTAGAGACAGATGGGGCTGGAGAGCTCAGGGTTCCAGCCCAGCACAAGCCTTCAGAAGCTCTGGCTTCTCCTCGGGGGCTACATGGAGCTCTGTCCATCCCTTCTTGTGACCCCGGCAGTCAGGCCCATCAGGACAAGAGCTGGGCCATTGGCAATGCTGTCACCCATGCCTCCTCCTGGGAAAGAGGTCAGGAGTCAGGGAGGGGAGGTCACAGTCATTGACGGGATGGATGGGAAAGGCTTCACCAAGGAGGCCACATCTGAGAAAGACCCTAGGGGTGGTGGAGCGGGCCCTGTGGTCATCTTGGACTGAGTGACAGCTGGTGAAGGTTCTGGGTTGGAGGCCTGGCTGGTGAGCTGGAGGAACAGCAGGGACGCAAACATGGCCAGAGTGGTGTGGTCAGGGCTGGATACAGGGTGGGGGGTCCCCTGTTGCTGTGAAGACCAGGGCTGTTCCTGGGTCAGGGGATACCCACAGAGGCCTCTGAGCCTGAGGACAGGGTGGGACTCTGGCTTTATGGAGACCAATCCAGCTGAGGTTTGAACAGCTGAGTGGTGTGGGGGCAGGAAGCTAGGAGGAAGGTAGGGGGTGGGGGTGGTCAGAAGACAGATTCCACAATCCAGACGCTGGTGATTGGACCTCATCATGACTTGGCATTTATTCACTGGGGGCAGGGGTGAGCCATGCCCAGGAAGGGCAGTGAGGCACTGCCCACCCACCTCTTCAAGGACCATCTGGTGTGAGCCCGAGGTGCGGGGGCATGGCAGGTGGGGACCAGGCTCCATCTCTCTACTGGATCCCCAGCACCTGGGAGGGGCCCTGGTAGGAAGGTCTGAAGAACAAATGACCACTGAATAATGGCTCTCAAGGCTGATGTAGTGTCAAAACCATTTATAAATGCTTGCCTGTTTGCGTCATTGCTGACCAACTCATAGTCACAACCTAAAAGTTGAGAGCTACATTTTATTCGGTGGGAAGTTTTAGGACTTGAAGCCAAGGGGACAGCATTTCAAGTGACCTTGAGAGAACTGCTCTGAGGAAGTGAGGGGAAGAGCCAGCTTATATAGAGGTTTTTGCAACAAAGGGAAGGTAGTCTGAACATCAGAAGATGATTGTTAATTAAAGAAAAACAGATGTCCCAAGTTAAAGAGTTCAGCAATTTTCTGTGTATGGGAAAATGCAAGAGTCTGGGTTCAATGAAATCATTCCTTTGACATCACCTCCGCTCTCTGGGGCCAGTATCCTGTGTTTTCCTCTCTCTTTTTTTCAAAGTCTTTATTGAATTTGTTACAATATTGTGTCTGTTTTATGTTTATGTTTTGGTTTTTTGGCTGCTAGGCACCTGGGATCTTAGCTCCCTGACCAGAGGTGGAACCCGCCCCACCCTCCCCCTCCCCTCTTGGAAGGTGAAGTCCTGACCACTGGGCCACCAGGGAAGTCCCTATCCTGTGTGTTCACTTCCTGAGCGTCCTCAGGGCTCACCATGGAGAGCAGCTGCAGTCTGACGGCTGATGGACGGCAGGCGTTCTTTCCTTCCTGAGTTCCCTCAGGGCTCACCAGCTCACCATCCGTGACGGCTGCAACACTGATGACCATGACATCCTTGTTTACTGACACGGCAGGAGATATTCCGTTTCTCAACTCATGCACACACATGCACAGACACACACACAGCTCACAAGCACGTGCAGAAGGGGATTCCAGATCCTGCAGCAAGCGCGTCACAGAATGAGCTCCACTCCACAGACGCGGCACTTGAGGGTGGAGGGTGACAGGCTAGGTTAAAAGCAAAGTGATTTTCAATGTCAAGAGTAGGATTCCTCCTCAGAGGTCAGCACCACCACACCCTCTCACAATCCGGAGGTGAAGTCTAACTGAATACAAACCAACACTGTGCTGCAAAATAAGAGTAATGGTTGGGAAGTTATTAACAGTCAATCATAAGACAAAAAGTTTTATTTTCTTACTTCCTGTGGAACAGAAGCTAATACTGATCACAGCCAATTACAACCAACTCATATTTACAGACTGAGAAACCAGAAGGAGCGTCTTTGACTGTGTGCATGAGCCCCTGGGGACCACACACTGGGTATCTCAGACACTTGGAAGCTGCCGGGGACACTTAGAAACTCTCAGGACCAATGTCCACATTGTCCACGAGGGCGTCCATCATGGCCGCGAAGGCGGGATCACCACAGGGTCTCCACCTGCACAGACTCTGAGCTGAGGCCAGTCTGGGTGTGGAGGCCAAACCACACAGGACAGCTTCCACAGGAGACCGAGGTCAGCCTCCCTGAGGGCGGGACCCAAGCACCGCATCAGGCACCTGGCAGGGCGGCTGCCGTGCCATTTTCCTACTGTTAAGTGTGTTCCTAGCAGTCTCCTCACAGCTGATGTCAAAGGGTGTTTGCCTCAATTACCTGCTGCAAACTAAGCCCGTTTGTCACATTTTCAAAAAAAGAGAGAAATGCCAGAACAGCGGCGGTGAGGACTGTGAAAACCCAGTGGGCTCTGCTGGGCTGTTAGCAGGGAGCCCACAGTCCCAGGACAGGGAGGGCAGCCACTGCATCTGGATTACCTGCCCTGCTGGGAGGCGTCAAGAATGCTGCAGTGAGATGTCCTTCTGCTCCTGCACGTTTCTGAGGTGTTTAACGGCCCAAGGTTACTCCTCTTTGCTGGCAAGTGTTAACAGAACAGTAAGATCTTGTATTTTACATCTCTAGTTCATTAAACATTCAGCCCTTTGTTCTGTATGGGTCATTAAGAAATCATGTTTACTGACAGAAATAAACCAGTTCTTTTTCAGACACACACGAAGTTGGGGCCCTGGACACTGGCAATCTTATGAAGCATTTTACACTTCAAACTTGGAAACTTTAACTTACCAAAACTATCTAGTCTCTGATTTTGAGGAAAGAGGATAATATATACAAAACCAACAGGGTTAATTTGTATATTCCAGGTGGATAGTGTCAGAATTGAATTAAACAGCAGGGCAAACTGTAGCACAAATAAGGCTGCATTTCACGTCACATTCTCTTCTCATTTAGAATTACTTTCTTGGGTTTAATTTACAGAAGTGGAAATTCTGAATTACAAGGTATAAATCATTTCAGACTTGATATATACTGCCAAATTGTTTTCCTAATAAATTTTACCAATATATCTTCACACCTGGGATATAAGGTAACTATGTTACAAACTTTACCAGTGATATAAGGTACCCATGTTTTAACAAGATCTGCTAACACTGTAAAACTGATAGTATCTATTTTAATATGCATCTCTTTGATGAATCACTAATTACGCTGCAACAGGTTTTGTACTTTTGTACATTAATTTTATTTCCCTGTTTGTTTCTATTTTGTTACATTCTCTCTGTCCATGTTCTTTCCCCTACACACATACTAGGTGCTCATATTCTGATCAATTCATGATACTAATGCTTTCTATCTTGTTTTGTTGCAAATGTTTTTCCCAATCTGTCTTTTGTTTTTAATTTTCAGAAATTTATTCTCCTTCCAATAAACCTTTCCTTTTGGTTCTTAAAACTTCTGAATTTAAAAAGTACTTCTCATTCTAGGTATCTGAGAAACATTCCTATTACATTTTCATCTGGCTGGATTTTATATGTAACTATTAAATATTATCCATCTGGAATTTCTGCTGATGTAAAATGAGACTCTAAGGCAATAAACTGGCTTTTCCCTCTAACTGCTAACAAAGGATCTCACTGTTTTATGGCACTTAAAGGAATAAGTTTCCTCTTTTCCCCTGAAAACCAGGTTACGCCAGACTCTGTGTGATGAGCCGTGATGGGTATACACAGATAACATGGCTCCCCCCACTTCCACTTTCCTCCCTTCAGGAAGCAGCTCTCTGCTGTTCTTGCCCCTTTATTCCTCCAAAGAAAGAAACATCAGGACAATTCTACCAATTTCACCGAAAGACTCCACCTGGAATTCTGATTAACGGTACTGAAATTAAATATTAATGTGGAAACTGAAGAAGTTCACAGGAAAAACTGTTAATGTTTCACAGGGAAAATTTCACCCCTACCCATGGAAGCCTCACTGGCGCCTCCGCAGGTCGGAGAACTGTTCCCGTGCTAACCCCAGGAAGGGACGGAATACTAAAACACCACAGAGTTACTGAAATCACATGGAGTTAAAATAAGCCTTCAAATTGATTTTAACGCCAACTGAAGCCATCTTTATTAGCATTTACTCAGGAGTGACTTTATGGCTACATTTAAAGAGCTCTGTTTCACTAAGCCAAAAAGAATACACACAAAATAAAACATGACACCATCATTTATTCATTTGACAAGTACTTTCTGAGTGCTTCCTTCGAGCTCTGCACTGTCCATGGGTGTGGCATACACAGGACTCCTGACAGCACCGGCAGCTTTTGTGGACAATGGTGCATTGTTAGAATGTAAGCTCTTTATCAAAATGCATCTAACAGACCCAACCTCAGACTCTGACTTTCATCCCCTCATTTGTTCAGCTAAGCTCCAGGAATGCTTCCTCCTGGGAAGCTCAATTAGCCTGACTGTGCAGAAGAAAGCTTAACTGCTAAAAAGTTCCCAAGCCTTTGTCCCTGGAGCTCCATCACCCACTTAATCTACATCTGCTGAAGCCCCACATTCCAGACACTGTCACCACAACTTCCTTCATAGAAAGCATCTCAATGACTGAACACATCATCAGAAAGAGATGCGGGAGTGTGTTTATTTTAAAAGTCAAAAGGGCTCTCACGGTCTCCAAATGACCTTTGTGGGAAAACCAAGACCTCTGAAATTTTGAGGAATCGCTGGAACTTTTTTGTCTTTTGTCAAATTCAATGGACAGCTATGTAATACAGTTAAAGCATCACTTTCCACATTTCACTGCTGTCATTTGTTGTCACCAGTAAACTGGAAGAGGGAAAAGTACCTGAGCAGGGCTGGGAGGCCCAGGTCTGAAGCAGAGAAGCAGAAGTCTTGTAGCCTGTGTACAAGTACCCATGCTATACACTCTGTTAACAGCATTCAGAAACTGCCTCCAGCAGACATCTGCAGATGCCTTGAGCTTTGGGCAGATCTGGCAAATACCCAAAGACAAAAAGCGCTTTCATTTCCTGGTGTGAGTAGGCCAGCATTAAAAAAAAAAAAAAGGGGACATTAAGTCCAGAACCAGCATTAAATTATTTCAGACAGTAGCCTGGCACCCAGTTCAAAGTAACATCACTGCAATTCTGGTCTGGCCTACGAGACAGATAACCTAGTGTCCTATACACATATATTTTTTAAAGTTTTTATACTTTTTTCATCATTATCCTCAAACATGTAAGTACAGTCAGTTGCCCGAAATGGGCTAAGTGCTAATAGAACCTTCCAGATTCTAGTCGGGGCTGAAGCTCTTCTTTTCTTAGACTCATTTTTGAAAACAGAGAACCAGTCTCAGCTATGTTTACAAAGAATCCACGGCTGTTACAAAAACATCACTGCCCACACTGGGAAAACAGAGTCTGCTGGTGTGCTGGGTGAGTCACCCCAGCTCAAGATTCTAATGAAGACCCCACTCTGTCCCCTCCCACACGTCCCACTGTGACAAGCCCACGCTGCAGGCCGAAGAGACAGCAGTTCCGGCAGCAGAGCGTCAGCACCCGAGGGAAGCGGTGTATCCCGGTGCGGGCCCCAACCAAATGGCGATGTTCCAGACACCACTTTCCCACACACTCTCTGAATGAGAAAATTAGAAAGTAGTGAGTGAATATTTACTATATTCTAAAATTTCCTATTAGAATATCGGATAGAGGCATTCAACTCAAGCCTGAGGAATTGGGCTCAGGTTTTAACCTAAACTCAAACATCCGAAGAAAAAACGCAAGCTGGAAAGAAACCGTAAGTCAGAGGCCTGAGGTCCCTTCTGTAATCCCATGCTTAAAAGCAGGCTCATCTTCATCTATTTCTGCATCTGCCTCCAGGACCCAAGGCTGAGAACTGCTTTTCATGAGGGCGTCAAGGCATGGGGCGGGTGGGGAGCCGTGGAACCGATCTCTCACCATCGTGTTCCAAAGATGTGAGGAAGATCTGCGGGGTCATCACATCCTGCCCCGCTGTCCTCAGAGGGTGACAGGAGGGTGCTGGCACCTCCCCCTGAGGGTCAGCACCTGGACCTGGCCTGGCTGGGCTCAGGGCTCACGGCGGGCCTGGTCCCCACCGTGTCATTGTGGAACAGGGGAGTGAGGCTCACACGTGACGTGGACAACATGCTTCTCCGAGCTCAGGTCTCCCACTCAGCAGGAGGCAAAGGGGCCAGGTGCTCAAGATGAAACACACACCCCGAATTCCGTGAAGAAGATGACCTGACACATCCTCCAGCTGGGCCTCAAGTGTGAGGTCTACAACCTCCACGTTCAAAAGGAAGGACCGTCTGGCAGTGAGATAATGCAGCCCCTCGTGACCGCCACACCAGGGCACGACTGCCTACCACACAAAGAGGACACCCTGACAGCCAGGAGAAGCGGGAGCCTCAGCCTCATCTGAATGGGAGGGGACACAGGGAGAGGACACCGGAGTAGGGGATGCGGGAAGGGGATAAGGCTGGGCACCCACCTCGGCTCATCTCACCCCAACCCTGTGAGGCGGTGGCTTGCCAATCTCCTGCTCTGTTTCCATCTGTAAAGTGGGCATAAAAGCCCTGCCTCAAAGTGCAGCCATCTAAGATTTGTGAAATAGATGTTTAACACCTTAAAGTACTTGTGTAACCACAAGTTATTAATAAAAGGTGGTTATTAGCAAGAAAGTTTCCAAAAGGGCGGCCCAGTCATGAGAAGAAATAATCTAACAGGGAGGGCTGAGCATCTCTGAATTTCTCCCCAAAGGTCCCTGGACGCCAGGTCTCTGCCACTGGGACGTCACACACTGCAGGGTTCAGCTAAACCACATGTGCAGGCCAGCTCCCCTCACCCCAAGTCTTATGACTTTATTGAAAGCTTGTCACAGGCATCCAGCAGAGCCGGCTGTAGACTTGTCAATTCACTGATGACTGAAGAAAAGGAGAAATGAAGCCCATCTAAATCCAATTTGTTCTTCCTTGGACACCTAACAAATCCGATGAAGATGCTCCTTTACTTCTAGAGACTATGATTTGCCAGAAAAGACTAGATACAGATACAAGTAATTATGAGGCTTCCCAGGTGGCACCAGTGGTAAAGAGCCTGCCTGCTGATGCAGGAGACCTAAGAGACACCAGTTCAATCCCTGAGGCAGGAAGATCGATCCCCTGGAGGAGGGCAGGGCAACCCACTCCAGTATTCTTGCCTGGAGAATCCCACAGACGGAGGAGCCTGGTGGGTGACTGTCCACAGGGTCACAAAGAGTTGGACACGACTGAAGTGACTGAGCATGCACCCACAAGTAACAACAACATAAAACACCGCATGGCAGTCACCCGAAGCAGGTCAAAGTGTTCTCGGAGGAAGGACATGAGCTCTGAGCCCTGAGGCTCCAGCACAACCTCAATCCATGTCTCAGGAACTCAGCATCCAAGGGTCAAGCGGCCACTCTGCTCCAGTGGCCAAGAAGACACAGGAGAGGAAGGTTTTCCAGCCGTGTGAGCAGAGGCCCTGAGGTTGGGGTGTACAGGGTGCCTTCAGAGACCACGGGCTGGGGGGGCTAACGACCAACCAGAAGGTGACAAACAGCCTAAGTGCCAGGTGCAGGAGTCCGGACCTTATCTGACAGGCAATCAGGAGTCTTCTTAAAATTCTGAAAAGAGAGGTGACATGCCCAGTGTGGTGCTCCAGGAAAACATGGAACTGACATGAAGGACAACACACTGAAAGATTCTCGAGAGCTGGGGCCACGTCCCATCCCCCTCGAATCTCTGTGGCTGCACCCACCAGGCACCTAAGAACCCACTGCCGAGTCCTCCGTGTCGAGGAGGGCGAGGACCCACTAGCGGCCCAGACACCACCTACCGTGTCCACGTGTCCACATGCCTGCCACCCACATTCCCTGGGCGGGCCTACGCGGACAGCAACGCACCCAGCCTCAGGAGCAAAAACACACACATGAAACACAACATGAGGACTACCACCCCTCCCCATGAGAAGTAACCTACAATCTGTCTAAGCAACTGCTCAGACTCGTCCCCAAATGGATGAGCCAGAAGAGGAGCCCCCCAACAGGAAGGACTGTCAGGGTGGCCCTGAGAGAACAGCGTGTGGGGTGGGAGGAGACCCTGGCCTCCCAGAGGAAGCACCATGATCACTGGGACATGGGTCTCAGAACAGTAAGTCTCCAAGGATGCACTTCACAAATGGAATCAACTTTAAAGAGACTGACATCTGGGACTCTGTGACACAACAGCTCTGTGGTGACATAGAATAATCCATCCAGAAATATCCAGAGTTATCCTGTTCATGTGGCTCGGATATATCAAAGTCTCACCTGGGTGGGGTGTCCCAGAGCCATGACCGCAGGTACAGCCGGGAAATCTGAGTGAGACCCAGGGACTGCATGGCTGTTGACGCTGTGACTGGGATCACGTACCACAGCTTTGCAAAACTCTATCAAGGGGGAAATGGGGGAAAGAATACACTGGTTCTCTCTGTATTATTTCTTGCTCCTGCGTAGGACCTTACCTGACCTCAGGGAAGTTACTTCAGTCTGGGGTGTCCCACTCCAAGCTCCCCTAAGGGCATTCATGCTTGCCCCCCACCCTCTGCTCCCTCCCTCAGGACACACAGCACAGCCCGCTGTGTTTGCAGCCTCCCAACCCAAACAGCAAAAGTTACGGTGGACTCACCAAGGCAAATAAGTTCCGGCATGAAAAAGATGCAGGAATGAACCCCCTCCCATGAGCTCCTGTGTGGAAACATCTGACGAAACAAGAGAGGATGGGACATCTCACGAGGCATAAGGCTGCTGGAGGGTCCACGGAATGTGGCAATGGGCAATCAACTCGTGTTTCTCAAATAACCTAAAGCTTTAGGAAAACAACCTGGCCACAGGCCAGCGTGTAATATAGAGGACACTCCTGTGGGTGGGAAACCACAGCTTAAAGCACAATTAGGAGAAATGTAAAATCGACGAATGGTTTGAGATGCTTCCCCTTCTATTTAAGTGCAGCCCTAGCTGAGAACATGACCTACACTGAGGTTTACTTAAAAGATCATCTGAGGAACAGACACAGGATTACTGAAAACAGAGGCTTCCAGGGGAAAGCTGAGCTTCCATCATTGGCCTGGATCCGCCTCCCCCAACCTGTAGCCCCTGGGGGCCTCAGGGGGTCAGGAAGATACTCCCCCCTTCGGGGAGGAAAGGGAAAGCCACCCACGTTCAACAGGAGAAAGAGCGTCCAGGAACAGGTTCAAGGGTGCCCCAAATTAAAGATGGGTGAGGACCGTGGTCCTCATATCCTAAGCCTGCAGGGCACACGACATCCAGACAGAGCCATCTTCCCTACTGCCAACTTCTCACCATTTAAACTAAGAGCATGGATTCCTCACACACAAACAGGCACAGGGCAGTGAAGATCTAGAAGAAACCCCACCAGGGCATCACCCCTCTTCATGACATGCTGGCACTGTGCCCCAGAAAAATCCTTCAATGCAAAAGCTGCTTTTCCCACAGTGGTTCTTCAAGTACCACTAAAACGCCTCCCAAACAGAAAGCACTCACTACAGCAAGCACTGGACACTCATTTTTTTTTTTCTCGACACTTATTTCTAAGAGAACTCTTCGTAGATACTTCTTTTTAAATATTCCAAGAATCTCTTCTTCCCTCCTGATTTCAGATGATGTTAACACTGGTTCTCAAAGGGTGGTCTGGAAACCCTGGAGGGTTCCCAAGGTCTTTTTAAGAAGCCTGGGGATCAAAACCGTTTTCATAATAATGCCAAGAAGCTCCTGCTTCCACTAGAGGGGTTTGATCCTTGGTTGGGGAACTAAGATCCTATGTGCCACATGAAGCAGCCATAAATAAATGACTACATAAAAAATTAATAAAATAAAAAATTGTTGTTCTTTAGTCGCTAAGTCATGTCCAATTCTTTGGGGACCCCCTGGACTGTAGTCCACCAAGCTCCTCTGTCTATGGGATTTCCCAGGTGAGAATACTGGAGTGGGTTATCGTTTCCTTCTCCAGGGGATCTTCATGGCTAAGAGATCAAACTTGTATCTCCTGCATTGCAGGAGGATTCTCTACTGCTGAGCCACCAGGGGAATTCCCCCCCCCCCCGCCCCCCCACCCCCACACCCCGCGCCAAATACAATTATCTCAATAAAAGTTTCAAATAAAAAACATACACCCATTCTCAAAGCAGCATTATTCACAATAACGAAAAGGTGGAAACAACCCAAGTGTCCGCTGGAGGATGAGTGAATAAACAAATAAATGGTATAAACATACAATGGAGTATTACTCAGTCTTAAAAAGAAAGGAAATTCTGACACACAATACAAAATGGATGAACACTGAGGATGTTATGCTGTGTGAAACAAGCCAGTCACAAAAAAGCAAAGACAGGATGATTCCATTTACATGAGGTCCCTGGAATTGTCAAAATCAGAGACAGAAAATACAAGGGTGATGAGGGACTGGAGGGAGAGGGGAATGGGAAGTTGTTTAATGTAGAGTTTCAGTTTTGCAAGAAAAAAGGGTTCTGGAGATAGACAGATGCTGGTGATGGTCACACAACACTACAAATACATTTAGTACTAAAAAGAAAGAAAAAGTAAGGAACTGCTAAAGGAAAATTCAGGACAGCAATGTGACGGGATCAGAAGATAAGCAAGGCTCTTAAAAGGACCTGTTTAGGAACTTCCCTGGTGGTCCAGTGGTTAAAACTCCAATGCAGGGACAACACTCTCAATGCAGGGATGCAGGGGTGCAGGTTTGATCTCTGGTTGCTGAACTAAGATCCTACATGCTGTGTGGTGCAGCCAAAGAAAATAAAGGGAGATGGTTATACTCAAGTCATATTGTATCCATTGTATTGTCATTCTTCATACCTTACATATATGTTAAATTTTGTATCCATTTAATTTTCAATAAATTTTTCTAGAAACAAAAAATTGTCCTTAATAAAGCAGTACCAATTATTGATGTTATTAAATCTCGACCTCTGACCTTCTGTTCTGTTTCTTGTGATGAATGAAGCACTTGGGCTTCATTCACCACAGTAGGACAATTGTCTGCAGGGCAAGCAAGAGGGTGACCCAGGGACCACTCAATCAGACGCTTTTTTTCACGGTCTACCGTTTTTACCAGAAAGAATAACAAACTATGGTTTTTAGGCTAGCATTTCACAGACATTTCTTGAAACTAAACAAAGCAAGCCTGTTACTTTGAAGAAAACAATTGACGAGAGTTTCCTACCAATAATAAAAATGAAGCTTTCAAATGAGAATGAGAATGTTGGAAAACTTCTTTCCACTGCCCCGAGCTTGAGAGACAGTTTCAAACCTAAAGATCTTCTAAGGAGAGGATGAGAAGTGATATTAACAAATGTTACTTAGGGACACTGTATAAAGAGATGTGTCAACATTTGGAAGATCTGCCTAACTCAGTGAATCAACACTTCCAAACGAGGAACATGCCTGTTACAATCAGGAGCAAGCCCCTTGAACTTCAGGGCCCGCGGAGAATTTGAGCGTCACCGCGAGTGAAAAGCTCCTGGTAAGGCTGAGGACTCCACGGCGAACTCATGTTTTAAGAAACATTAAGTTACCCAGTTTTGGAGTAATAACAAAAAATACCGCAACTACGTGAAAAACTCCCTCTTCCAACCGCATCTCTGCGTCGGAGCGGGCTTCGGATTTCAAGCAAAACGGGCCGCAGCGGACTGAAGGCAGATCAGGCAGGGAAATGCACACATTTAGGAGATTTGCACAATGTACAAGCACGGCTCTCGTCACACTGAGTTTTTGTTAGGAAAACGCTATTTTCATGAAGCATGCGTTACACACGTTGAAATCACAAACTCATTTTACATTTAATGAATGAGTAAATATCCTTTAAGGTATGTTCCATTTCTAAACAAGTAAATCTCTAGCCTTGAGCCGTCCCCGCCCTCACGGACACCTCCTGCGACCCGAGCAGGGCTAGGAGCGCCGGGCCGAGTCGCGGTCCACTCGGGCCCCGGTCTCTGCAGGCCCGTCCGCCCGCGCCGCAGGGAGGGGCCGCCCCGGCGGCAACACCGCTGACGTGGCTGTGGCTCCGGCTCCGGCTGCGGCCTTGAGCTCATCGCCCGCGCGATCTTACCTGTTGGTCATTCCTGACGCCACGCCCAGCATCTCCGCGGCCCCGCGAACCCGCACCGCGTCCCCGCGCCGCTCCAGTCGCTGCCGCTGAGCCGCCGCCGCTCCTCCTCGCTGCGCGCCGGGGCAGGAAGGGGCGGGCCGGGGCCGCGAAGGCCACGCCCACTAAGAATCGGTCCCGCCCAGCCTGGCTCTGCCCCCCGGAACCGCCCTCCCGGATGTCGGCCCCCGCCTCCATCTAGGTCCCGGCCCGGTCCGCCCCGCACCCGGAACTGGCGCACCTCCAGTCCGGCCCCCCCGGAACCGCCCCTCGAATCTCGACCCCGCCTCCAGATAGGCCCCGCCCCACCCCGCGCACCGAGGCCCCGCCCTGCCGGTGGAGGACACTGGCCAGGGGACCAGGGGTCCCTTGCAGCAAGCCGGTTCTGGATCCGGGGCAGGTTCACCCTCCCTCGTGCTCCGCCGTCCCCACACCCCAGTCTGTGGGCCGCGGAGGTGGTCGGTGTCGGTGCTGAGAAGTCATCTCCACTCTGACCAGGTCCTGGCGATGGGGTCACTCCTGGAGTCTCAGCAGCGCTGCAGACCCCATTCTAGGATGGTTCTAAGGAAAGGCTCCAGGGAACCCTGTTAGCCCAGCGGGTAAAGCTGCACCTTAAGGAGGAATGGGGTGGGGCAGAGCGGGCGTGCCGCAGTGGTACAGAAATGGCCACAGCAGTTGTACCAAGAGGGTCAATGCAGTTTTGCTTTTAAGAACAACTGAGAAAGTTTGTTTAACCAGGACATTAAATAATCACAGTCTCTACCTAAAACACATCTGTTAAGGAAAAAAAAAAGAATAGTCAATAAGCACATGAAAATATGCTCAACATCACTAGTGATTAGGGAAATGCAAATTAGAACCACCTTATTGTCCAGGAGGAAAGTGAAGTGAAAGCATTAGTCGCTCAGTAGTGTCCAACTCTGCAAACCCATTAACTGTAATCCACCAGGGTCCTCTGTCCATGGGATTCTCCAGGTAGGAATACTGGAGGGGGTTGCCATTCCCTTCTCCAGGGGATCTTCCCCACCCAGGGATCAAAGTCAGGTCTCCTGCATTGCAGGTGGATTCTTTACTGAGCCATCAGAGAAACTTGTCCGGGGCGATGCTGCTGTCAACACGTGTTGACCAAGATGTTTTGGTGGAGAAATTGAGGCCCTTGTGCACTTTTGGTGGGAGTGTAAGTTGCTGCAGCCACTATGGCAAAGGGTATGAAAGCTTAAGAAAACTAGAAATGGAACTACTATATGATCCAGCAGTCCTATTCCTGAGTATATATCCAAAAAAACTGAAAGCAGACATCTGAAGAGAGTTGGAAAGATATTTGTACACCCATGTTCATTCCCAACACTGTTCACAATAGCCAAATGTGGAGACAGGTCCATGGATGGAGAAATGGATAAATGAAATGGAGTCTCCATCCACAGAATGGAGTATCATGCAGCCTTAAAAAGCAAGGTAATTCTGATGTATGCTGCAACACAGATGAACCTTGAGGACACTATGCTGAGTGAAACAAGTCAGATGAAAAAGAACAAATACTGGGCCCCCAGAGGTGTCAAACTCAGAGACAGAAAGTAGATGGTGGGGGTCAGGGGCTGGGGGGAGGGGAAGTCAGGAGTTCTGATTGACAGATACACTTTTAGTTTTGCAAGATGAAAAAGCCCTAGAGGTTGTTCAACAATGTGAATATACTTGATTCTACTGAACTGCACACTTGAAAATGTTTAAGGTCAATTTTATGTATATTTCACCACAGTTAAATAAAAATAAGATGATTTGTAGTAATAAAGAATGACTTTTATGACTTTAGCAACTGAACAACCACCTCCAAGATATACTTTTAAGTTAGGAAATAAAACAAGGGGGGGAAGTTGTTTAGTATGCTGCCATTTGAGGGAAGAGAAAAGCTGTCAGGGTTTATGCTGGTCTCCTAGAATAATTTGGAGAATATTTCCTTTCTTATTGCCTGAATAAACCTATCAAATTGGGACAGTTATCACTCTTGAAAGCTTGATGGAACATGTCTGCAAACCCATTTGGACTTTGAGTTTTCTTCTTGAGAAGATTTTAAGCACCATTTCAATTTCTATTCCAGTTACAGGATTTTTCAAGCTTTTAAATTCTACACGATCATCATAGGTTAACAGTGTATCGAGTAAATTTCAAGTTTAAGTTTTAAAGAAATTAGTTTATGTCCAAAGTTTCAAAATCATTACACATAATTGTTTATATTAGTCTTTTAAAATTTTACTTTATCTGTTATATGTGTGCCTGCCTAGTATCTCAGTTGTGTCTGACTTTTTGCAACACTGTGGACTGTAGCTGGCTAGGCTACTCTGTCCGTGGGATTTCCCAGGCAAGAATACTGGAGTGGGTTGCCATGTCCTCCTCCAGGGTGTCTTCTGCATTGGCAGGCAGGTTCTTTACCAACTGCGCTACCTAGGAAGCCCCCATCTGTTATATGTCTCCTGTTTATTAATGAGATTATTTATATATGTGTCATCTTTCTCCTTCTCTTGGTCAATCCTGCCAGAACTTTTCTATTTTTTTAGCTGTCTCAAAGAAACAAGTTATTGTCATATGTCTTTAAAACCTGGTGTGTATTTTATACTTACAATATATCCCAGTTTGGAATAACTACAGTTCAGTCTTTCAATATCCACATGTGAATAGTGACTACTGTATTAGAGCAGTTCTAGAAAAGAGGAGCTCCTTTTAAAACATTTCAAAGTTGTCGTCTATAAGGCAGTTTGAAAGCTAATCTGAATGATTCCTTTTCCAGGAAAGGAAGCAGAAATAGTACAGTCATGAAATTAAGTTAGTTGCATATTTTATGGGTCCCAGGAGAAACGTGCAAGGCCAAAGAATGATCTCAGTGAGAAACTCAGAATGAATCACAGGAATTAAACATTGGACACCATCCAGTGCTGAACATGAGTTTTCAGCTTACAACAGGATCACTTTATATCACAAAATGTAGAACTTTGCTAATTATGCTTGATGTAGGATGTATATTGATACATTGTTCCACAGACAGCTATAGATTCAAACTTTGTGAAAAACTGTATTTCACTCTTTGGGAAGAGTGTCTTCTTATAATCTTAAACTGCACTGAAATAAACTATCTGTTAGATTGCTCAGAATGGGTCTTAATTCTAACCTCTACTTTGGTCATAAGTAATAAAAAGAATGCTTCTGTGTACAAATAAGATATTGAAGGCAATCAACTGTGATTAACAAACAATGCTCTTAGCAGATGGCGACTCTGGAACCTGACATGGTACACATCAGTTTACTATTTTTCATATTTATAAATTTTAATTAAAAAAAAATCCCTTTCTCTGAAAGCCTCTGGTGTCTTCTGTTTTCTCTGTCTGCTCCACCAGACTTTTGTCCTCATCGTTCCCTCCTCGGTGTGGTGAGTCACAATTACACCTAAGCTCAAACAAAGCAACCGGAAAACACATTCCAAGATAATGGAGATTTTCTGAAGCCTGGTAGGTCAGGCTTCACGCACAGACCCATTCCCTTGGGGAAGTTAGAATAAAGACTGAAGTCGAAACAGAAGGACTGTCTAGGGAGTGTGGCCTTCTGGTAACCAGTTGGGGTAAAAAAAAAAAGGAACAGGAAGCCATGGCCAGTTCTCAAGAGCCCCTCAAGGAAAGCACACCCTGTATCTAGCCAGTAGCAAACAGGTTAAGAAACAGCATAGCACTTAAAGTTGATACAAAAACCAAATGCCTGTTTATTTCCAGGTTACCAAGAAAGATACAACATGGCTAGCTGAAACTGCAATATTCTGGATAAAAGTGAAAGTATTCATCACTCAGTTGTGTCTGCCTCTTTGTGACCCTGTGAACTATAGCCCGCCAGGCTCCTATGTCCATTGGATTTCCAGGCAGAGATACTGAACTGTGTTGCTGTTCCCTTCTCCAGGGGATCTTCCCAACTCAGGGATCAAACCTGGGTCTCCTGCACTGCAGACAGATTCTTAATCATCTGAGGCACCAGGGAAGCCTGAATTACACATGTGAAGTGGAAAATAAAACCATCTAACACTTATTGTATGTGTCCTACATTTTTAATTGCTTTAAAAAATAAAAGATGGCTTTTGCTAATGAGCAAAGGAGTAACCAAAATGACCCAAATGTCATTGATGTTAGCATCTTTAACTTTGCATTTAGAATTCAGTACATCCTTCAGAAAAGATTTATAGCCATAATGACTTCACTGGTAACAGTGATGTTAATCTCCTTGGTAGTGACGGCAACCAGAATGCAGTGAAACTAGTTTGTGATTACACATGTGATGTGTGTATATGTGCTCAGTTGTATCTGACCATCTGCGACTCTATGGGCTGTAGCCCACCAGCCTCCTCTGCCCATGGGATTTCCCAGCAAAAATACTGGAGTGGGTTGCTATTTCCTACTGCAGGGGATGTTCCTGACCCAGGGATTGAAGCCGCATCTCGTCTCTTGCACTGCCAGGCAGATTCTTTTACCACTACACTACCTGGGAACCTTTAATTATACATGTGAAGTAGGAATTAAAACCATCTAACATTTATTGTGTGTGTCCTACATACCAGACACTGCTGAGTCAGCATCTTACTGTATCATTTCATTTACTCTTATTACCTGGTTATTATTTGGAGATTAGGAACAAGTTAGTTGCAATGTAACAGGAATTATACAAACAGGCAAATCTACAGACAGATAGCAGATCAGTGGCTGTCAAAGGTGGGAGGGTTAGTGGGGGAGAGGCTGCCCATAGGCAGGGAGTTTATTTCTGGAATGATTAAACTTTCTAACATGGAGATGGTTTCACAACCCTATGACTACAATGAAGCCATTCAGTTGTATACTTTAAACAATGAATTGTGTGGCACGTAAACTGTAGTCAAAGCTCTAGTCAAACCTCTGGTTTTTCCAGTAGTCATGTACGGGTGTGACTTGGACCTAAAAAAGGCAGAGCAATGAAGAATTGATGCTTTTGAGCTGTGGTGCTGGAGAAGACTCCTGAGAGTCCCTTGGACTACAAGATCAAACCAGTCAATCCTAAAGGAAATCAACCTTGAATATTCATTAGAAAGACTGATGCTGAAGCTCCAATACTCTGGCCACATGATGGGAAGAGCCAATTCATTAGAAAAGACTCTGATGCTGGGAAAGACTGAAGGCAGGAGGAGAAGGGGACAGCAGAGGATGAGATGGTTCAATGGGATCACTGACTCGACGGACCTGAGCTTGAGCAGGCTCCGGCAGATGGTGAAGGGCAGGGGAGCATGGTATGCAGCAATCCGTGGGGTTGCAGAGTCAGACACTGACTGGTTTGTCTAGGGTGGAGCACTGCATCTGGGTCCACATGACTATGGCCGGGATTCCTTGCCTTTTATAGGGGGGTGGCCTCTGTCCCCAGATAGAAGGGTGAGGGCAGACTCGAGTAAGGGCACCACGTGGGTGGGAGTGGGCCTGTCCTCCAAGTGAAACCAGGAAGTCACCTGCATTGTTGAACTGAAATCACATTTCCACACTGTATTCAGTGTTCAACTCATAAGAGCCTATTTTTTTTTAAAAACAGTAACAACTCAATGTCAGGACTTGGTTCTTTTCCCCATGTAATCACATTTTGCAGGCAGGTGAACCAATACATAAACACCCAAAAGCTCTTCATCACCTATTGGTGAAATCAGCTGGAAGGCACTGCCAGTTCTATCAGGCTGTTCTCCTCTCTGTTCTCTTCTGAAGCCACAGCTGACTGAGGGGCATGGGGTGCATGTGCGCTCAGTCACGTTTCACTCTTTTGTCACCCCACCAACTGTAGGGCTTCCCTGGTAGCTCAGCTAGCAAAGAATCCGCCTGCAATACATGAGACCCTGGTTCAATTCTTGGTTCGGGAAGATCCGCTGGAGACGGGATAGGCTACCCACTCCAGTATTCTTGGGCTTCCCTTGTGGCTCAGCTGGCAAAGAATCTGCATGCAATGCAGGAGACCGGGGTTCGATCCCTGGGTTGGGAAGATCCCCTGGAGAAGGGAACAGCTATCAACTCCAGTATTCTGGGCTTGAGAATTCCATGGTCTATACAGTCCATGAGGTCGCAAAGAGTCAGACATGACTGAGTGACTTTCACTTGACTGTAGCCTGCCAGGCTCCTCTGTCCATAGGATTTTCCAGGCAAAAATATTGGAGTGCGTTGCCATTTCCTTCTCCAGAGGATCTTCCTGATCCAGGGATCGAACCCGCATCTCTTGCACTGGTAGGCAGGTTCTTTACCACCGAGCTACTGGGGAAGACCTGCCACAGCTGATTTCCAGACATGGAACACACATAAAACAAAAGTCTTGTACCAAGTGCCACTGCCAAGTTCCTACTAACCACATGCAAGTATTTTCATGTGCTCTGTTCACTGAACACCAAAGCCATTTCTCCATGGGACCTCTCGCTCTCATCATTAGCCACCATGGGGTACAAGACCCCTGCTCTGCTGGTGAGTGGTTCACTTCTGTTTAAAGGAACGTAAGCCTCCATGTACACTGTCTGGAATGTAAGCAGAGCTTGTAGTTTGGGAGACCCTCACACCACAGAGGGCAGAACTTGAGAAACACCCATGGAAGGGCCAGGTGGCCTCCAGCTTCAGCCAGAAGGTGGATATTGGACGCACAGATGCATAGGACCCTCAGGCAACCTGAGGCCCCGTGAGCCGAGAACTGGGGGGGGGGGTCCAAGGTCCTGACTGGTCAAGATAGCAGAGAAGGAACCCAAAATCCATGTTATAAACCATCTCAAGACCCTTAGGAGGTGGAGGCTAACATAACAGAAGAGTAGGTGTTAACAATGTGACATACAGTCCAACACATTTAATAGAAATATTAAAATAATCATTATACTTCCTCTCGTTGCAGAAACCAGGGAGAGAGATCCCTTCTGTAATTGAAGTAGTAATTTCTGATCATACAAGGCATTTTTGTTATTATGTCCATAGGTAGAGCTCATACTTCAAAACAGGTTGATAGCCTGGACTTAGAGATAAAGTGAGATTTATTTAAATATTTTAACAGTTACCTCGTATGCTTCTGGCATACTCATATTCACAGTTTACCAAGTAAAAAAAACTAAATGCTTAGAAGTCAGCTCTGAAATAGATGCATTTTCATTAATACATTCACCAGTTAGGTCTGTTCTTCTGAAATAAGAGCAAAGTCAGATATTGAGATTATTTGTTAAAGAACAAACTCAACATGTCAGCAGCAAATTTCAGTTAAAGTAAACTGGAAACCATTGTTCCCGTAACTGCAGTACAAAGTCAGTTCACCAGCTGAGACCAAAGATCACAGGGTAGACTAGAAGCTGAAACAACTTCATAGAGCATATTGTGGGGTGACTTTTAACAAATAAATATTAAAAACAGAGTTTTCACATTGATGACTTAAGGACACGTTTTTGACACAGTCCACAGAATATTCAGAGGCATCAAGCCAAGTACCACCACCACCACCAGGAGCTATACCCCGGGGCCCCTCGCAGCACACGGGCAACTGGTGTGCCGGGACTGCTGAGCACCAGCTTGCCTCTGGATGCAACACCGAGCAACACAGCCAGGGTACTGGAAAGTTTCTCTGGAGAGACTGAGCAAATTCCCCAGACAGACTCCGGTGTAGAAGCTGCTGAAGCACAATAGGAATATGGGCAGACCCCACAGAAGCACCCCATCTGGGAACATGGCGACCAGGGCTTGTGACCACAGAATCAGCTTGAGATAATGTACTCTGGAGAAAATAGAACAACTCATTTTTCGGTCCAAAAACCTGTGTGTGTCCATGCACTGCATGTGTCAGATGAACTGAAAAGGCTCAGCCCATGGTGAACGTCCAGCAGGTGGAGTGGGGCCCTCTCCATCGTACCCAGACCCAGGAGTTTTAAAGGAAATAAGGCAACAGTCACGTTAACTTAGACTTGGGGGTGGACTCCAGCACATTTAGTTGATATTCCTTCATAAACACGTCAGCTTTACCAGGAAAGTGTCTTCCTTCACATTCTGACTCACAAGTTTTCTGTAACAATTTGTCAATGATAACAATTGACCTGTCAGTCTGACCTTGTCATAAATGGTCCTACAAATTCTTTAAAAAGTCTAAATTTTAGCTGGTATGACACCAAAACTTAGTTTAACTTCAGAATTCACAGGACAGCCCTAGCCCAGGCAGCCTGAGAGTCCAGGGGAGGGCAGGGCGTTGCTCCTGGGTCTGGTGGCGACGGAGAGGGCACAGAGTCTCAGGGCCACAGCCACGTCCACACTCCAACTGCTGGACATTCACCACGGGCTGAGCCTCTTCGATTCCTCTGACACACGCATGGATACACACACGGAGATGTGAATTACATACACATGGTTTTGGACCAAACAATGACAGGGACATACACGAGCCTTTTTTGCCAAACAGACTATTTGGTTCATGAACAGCACTCTCTCGTCAGTCTACCGGAGTCCAGACCAGCTGTGCAGGTAGGATGCCCAGCCTGAGGAGCGGGACCCGCTCTCCTCCTCACCTGTGGGGTGAAACAGAAGGTTACTATCTACGTTGCACACCAACCTGTCCTTAGGCCTACCAGTGCCCACTGTCTTCCTCTCTGAGGGTCAGAACGAGGACGTCTGACACATGACGCACAGCATGGCACAGAAGGAAACCAAATTCATGGGGAGAACCCAAACTAGGGTCACAAGTCCAGTTTCAAGAACTGGAGATCACACTGGACACTTTGTGCTCCCTTCTACGTGGAAGGGATGCACACATGGTGCTGTCCCCAGGAAGCAGAGCCAGCGTTTCCTTTCAGGCACAGGATATACTGGTCCACAGCACAACCCCGTCTGATGCCCTGCCCACCTTGGGCGGCGGCTGCCAGCCGGGTCTTCTCCTCAGGGCTGAGCTGCAGCATGGTGTCCACCACAGGCAACAGCCGCGCCCGCTCGCTGCCTGGCTTCAGCAGGATGAACTGCAGCAGCACGTTCTTCAGGTACTCCAGGTTGGCTGCCGACTTCTCCCGCTCCTGGTTCCGTTCCAGCCGCCTGACTTCACTCTTCAGAAGCTGGTTGTCACAGAAGCGAGGGGAAAGGGGTTAACATGAAAGATGGACACCATGTCTCCTCTTCCCCCAAAATGCCCTTAAAATGACAACAAAGGTGTAGCAAGGACGCATGAGCTAGTGCGGAGGGCTTCCTGGAAGCAGCATTCCCCACCTTAATCTGCTCCATGAGGATGGCGTTGGTGGCTTCCGTTTCCCGAAGCAGGCCATTTAAGTGGTCGGCACTCTTGGTGGTGGAATTGAGCTTCTGAACCAACTCTTCTTTGGTGAATTCATTGTGCCATGCAGGCGACTCTGCAGGTAATAGTCCAACGTTAATTCCCAAAATGAGGGGTCACAAGTGAAAATTTTAACAGATCACCAAGAAAATACCCTGGTATGGCCACTTGGCTCTGCAGGTCCACCCCCATGCCCCAGTTACAAGGCTGCATGAGACACAGGAAGCCAGACTATGAAGTGGAGCAGGCTGCTGGCTTGGAAGCTGTGAGGCTACTAGGTCAGCACCAGCTCACCCTCCTTCATCTATTCACATCCTGGGAGCTGGTGTCACTTTGCTCATAAAGGAGGAAATGCCAGCAGTTACTGGGAGACCATAATTTCAGTGGTCTCCCATGAGGATTTCATACAAGGTGAGGGGAGCATTATTATTTGAATTTAATACATGATGGAACAGGCCCAAAGTCAGCAAGCAAAAAACAGAAAGCCAAATCTGACGGGGCCAAATTTTCCATTTGTAAAACAGGAGAATACCGAAAAGTTTTTTTACGAGAGTAGCTCAAGAGAGCACTTATAAAGGAGAGTGACGTTAATTAGACAGGATGACAGAATCAGATAGAGGAGCACACCAAGCCTGGCTTCAGGAGAACTGAGCAGCTGCTCCAGGGACTGTGCAGGGGTGCTGGCGGGAGAGCCCCGCTCCAGGTCTGTGGTCTCCATCCCTTCCCCTTCCTCCCGGGCCGTGACCTGCACATCCAGGAATGGGAGGTCTGCGCTTCTCCTCTCACGAAGGCTCCTCAAAGGTTGCTGGGAAGAAGTTGCGCCTGTTACAGGATTTTTAAACAGTAAGTGGGAGATGCTCAGACTCATGGACTCAGCACCAGCAGAGACACTTAAGCAAAGGTAACATGACTCAGGATGACCAGCTGCATGGCAGGGAACCTGAATTACTGAATGACAAGGAAAGATGCAGAAAGAGGAAACTTCTAAGACCACCCTAACCAGCCAGTTACTGAACTCTAACGATGAAGTCCACTCACCAGAGGCAGCACTTGCTACCTGAGTTAGGGTAAACCATTGGACAGCACAATGCAGAGGCCTGGCTGCTATAGAAACCCTCCAACCAGACTCCGCCTGTCACAGAGGATGGGTGTTTCCAGCATTGCAAACCCTGGAACACCACACCCTTGCTGAGGGCAGCTCTGAGCTCACTGACCATGGGCCTCACACTCCACCGAGGGATCAGGCCATCACCCACCCCGTTGTCAGCATGCAGGCAAGAAGAGTCCTGAATCTAGGGTGGGTTGACCCATCCCACTTCCCAGGCTGCGCTCCACGCTCGCTGGCCACCAGCCCAGCATACAACCAGCAGAGTCATAAGACACTTCAAAGGAGTTCTTTTATGAATCCCAAGCAAGCTCAAGGTCAGAGCAATTACACGGCCTGGTTCAAGGAATCAGAGCCTGTTCCAGCCCAGAGTTCCAGCCAGCCCTGTTAACCTCACCTCTCACTTATGTCACTTTAGTTCCCTCTGCAGAAGCTTGCCCGGGTCTCTGACTGTTTGCTTACTGCTTGTTCCACTGCTGACTCCTGACTCCAGCGTTCCCTGGTTAGCCACTTCTGATAGTTCTCAGTTTACATTACATTGTCTGAAAGTTGGTTTTGATCCTGAGGAGTGACCTGTCACCGCCAACACCCTGGTGATGAGGGATCAGTACTAAATATGAAGCTGATACTCTGCACTGAGATGTGGCCTCGTTCTGGCTGATGGGCTCTCATCGCTTCCAGGAAGCAGAATGAAGTCGTTTGTGCGGCTGGACAAAAGCTCCACTAATTAGAAACTTGGAAGGGAAGATGCTGTGTTTGACCAGACAAGCCTACAATTTCAGCACTCTAGAATTTCTGAGTAAAAAAAAAAGTGTTTGAAAAAGCACTGAAGAACACTAAATGGATGCAGTGGATGCTGTATTTGTACACGGAGGCTCGAGACCGCTGTGTTTGAGTCAAAGAGGAAAACCCAACTACGTGAAGTCAGTACCCTGTGGGGGGCAGAGGCTGCAGCAGCAGGGGGTTCAGCGTCCAAATCTCCACTTAGCAAGCAGATGCCATGTCGCTGACCACAACACCCGGTGTCTCGTCACCGTGTGTGTGTGGGGGGGAGTGGCTAGACAGCACACCCCCATCACACGTACGCACTCCGTATGTGTCCCCACTGCACGTACACACTCCACATGTGCATTCCCACTGCAAGTACGCACTCCGTGCGCCTGTCCCCATCGCAAATACATACTCCGCATGGCCGGCTCGCTGCGGGGCTGCAGAAGCTGGGCCTCTAGCCGGCACAGCTGCTGCTGCAGTGTCTCCACTGTCCTCCGGTGTTCCTCTTGCAGCTGCCCCACCTGTTCCCGGAAGCTGCCGCGTAGGGCCTCATGCCGGGCTGTGAGCTGATCAACAGTCTGCATGTGCTCAGCCTTCAAGGCGGAGTTCTCTGACTGCACAGAGCACAGCCTGGGGAGAGACCGTGCCACATAAGCATCCACCCTACATTGGCTCGGCCAAGATGGCAACCGGACGTGCCCCTGGGGGACTCAGGGAGGAGGCAGAGGGCGACCTAAATGAGCCAACTGGAGTCTGTGTACCCCGATGTTTCAAGCAAAGGGTTAATGGCAGGAGCAGAGGGAAATGAAGCTCTGCTGGAGTGAAGGACAGGTGACATGCCTATTCTCCAGGTGAGGAGACACCTCTCCAAGAAGTGCAGATACTTCTTGCGATTAGGAAGTGGGGGGTGGGGGTGGAGGGTGGGGGGGGGTAGGATCCTATAATAAGTGCTGTCCACCTTCGAGAGCCCCGCAATGGACTCCACCTCAGCAAAAGGATGCATGGGCATATTGGGAGGGCCCTGGGTCAGGTCAGAGGGTGGGAAATGAAGCAAGACGAGCAGCCGGAGGAAGACACAGACCAGAAGATGGTGTCTACACGAGCAGTTCCACCTTTGGGCACTCCCTGTTGGCAAGGATGCCCATGCCCTGTGCGGGGAGCGCAGCTCTGCCTGTGTGCTCCCCCACAAGCTGTGCTTCTAGTAAACTCTGCCTGTCCTACAGTGAGGGCTTGCTGTAAATTCTTGTTTCCAAAGAAAGTAAGGGCTCCGTCAGCAGCTGCCAGAATGTCATCCAGAGAGAAGGAGAAGCGCTGGCCTCCAATGCAAGGCCATGAGGGCACAGTGGACAGAATGGTGGGCAAGCAGGTAAAGCCATGTACAGACATAGCAGGAGCGGGCGCTCTGAGGCAGAAGCAGCCACCAACGTGTGGACACCCTGCTCCTAACTTCAGCCTGCACCCTCCCAAGGGTGCCCAACCAGAGCGCCAACAAGCCCACTCGCTGCCCATGTGCCAGCACCGCTGGCTTACTTCTCACGGAGCTCAGCCTCCTTGCCCACGGCCTCCTGCAGCACCCTGTTGTGCCTCTCCAGCAGGGCGTAGTGTTCACACTGCAGGGCCTGCAGCTCAGAGGTGCTGATCTGTAAGCTGTTCTGGGTGTCTTGTAACTTGAGCTTCAGTTGGTCAATCAGCATTTCCAGATGTTCTCTAAAACATAAGTAAGTTCAAAAAATATTTTTGAAAGATGTAAACCTAATTTTATGATTTCAAATAAATTTTACTTTAATCATTTAATCTTTTGATATCATACTCTTGCCATTATTATGGATGATTCTAAAGGAAATAAAACAATCTGAGGAATTTGGAGAACAGGGTTAAGTGTGAAACAAAACACTATAGTCAGATTTTAGATGTCAGACTACACATTTACAAAAGTCTGAATTTACAGATTTCACATTCAAATGGAGCAGACCATGCAGTACATCCAAATAGTCCATTTCATGTTATAGGAGGACAACATTAGTTGGGGGAAAAAACAGAAATCATACAGCTCTAGCCTATCTGTTCTGAGAACAGCTTTTTACACCAAGTTAGAGTGAAGAAAAGTTTTTGGAGAAAAAGTTAAAAACTGTATTTCTGCCACAACTGGTGTAATGCACTATTTCTTTTTTTAAAAAGTATTTAATATATAAGAAAGTAGAAGAAACTTAAAACATTTACATTAAAATAATTTTAACTCAAAACTGTCATAATCAAAGCTGACTCTTGCAAATGTGGTATTTTTATAATAAATGTGTCAGTATTCAACTTCAGCTTTTAAGACGAGCAATTCATAGAAAAAACATCTCATCAGTTTTTAGCCTAGAATTATCTATTTACTAAATACTTAAAAAGCAACACAACCATAAGATTACAAAATTAATACACAGAAATCTGCTGTATTTCAATACAGTAACAATGAAAGATCAGAAAGAGAAATTCAAGCAACTATTCCATTTACCACTGCATTAAAAAGAATAAAATACCTAGGAATAAACCTACCTCCGAGACAAAAAACCTGTACTCTAGTGACTATTAGGATGCTGATGAAAAAAAATCAAAGAGGAAATAAACGATGAATAGATACACCATGTTCATGGATTGGAAGAATCAATATTGTGAAAATGACTATACTGCCCAAGACAATCTACAGATTCAATGAAATCCCTTCAAATTACCAATGGCTTTTTTCACAAAACTAGAACAAAAAATCTCAAATGATGGAAGTGATCCTGAATAGCAAAAGCAATCCTCAGAAAAAAAAATGGAACTGGAGCAGTCAGGCCCCCTGACTTCAGCCTATACTATAAACCTACAGTCATCAAAACAGTGTGGTACTGGCACAAAAACAGAAATATAGACCAACGGGAACAGGATAGAAAACCCAGAAATAAGTCCATGCACCTATGGTCAATTAATCTATGACAAAGTAGGCAAGACTACACAATGTTGAAAAGACAGTCTCTTCAACAAATGCTGCTGGGAAAACGGGACAGTCACATGTAAAAAAATAAAATTAGATCACTCTTAAACTTCATACACAAAAATAAGCTCAAAATGGATTAAACTGAGACTGGACACTAAAAAACTCCTAGAGGAAACATAGGCAAAACACTGAGATAAATCACAGCAACATCTTTTTCAATCCACATCCCAGAATAATGGAAATAAAACCAAAAATAAACAAACAGGACCTACTCAAAAGCTTTTGCAAAGCAAAGGAAACAATAAAGTGAAAAGACAACCCACAGATTAGGAGAAAATATTTGCAAATGATGTAACTGATAACGGATTAGTCTCCAAAATTTACAAAAAGCTCATGATGCTTAACAGCATCAAAACAAACAACCTATTCAAAAAATGGGCAGAAAACCTAAAGAGACATTTCTCCAAAGACGACATACAGATGGCCAAGAGACACATGAAAAGATGTTCAACATCACTGATTATTAGAGAAATGCAAAATCAAAACTACAATGAAACAGCACCTCACACCAGCTAAAAAGGCTATCATCAAAAAAAAATCCACAAACAACAAATGCTGGAGAGGGGGTGGAGAGAAGGGAACCCTCCTGGACTATTGGTGGCAATTAAAATTGGTACAGCCACTATGGAGAACAGTATGGTAGTGTCAGTCACTCAGTCATGTCCGACTCTTTTTGACCCCATGGACTGTGGCCCGCCAGGCTCCTTTGTCCATGGGATTCTCCATGCAAGAATACTTGAGCGGACTGCCATTCCCTTCTCCAGAGGATCTTCCTGACCCAAGGATTGAACCTGGGTCTCCTGTATTGCAGGCAGATTCTTTACCATCTGAGCTACAGGGAACAGTATGGAGGTTCCTTAAAAAACTAAAAATGGAGCTACCATATGACCCTGCAATCCCACTCCTGGACATATATCCAGAGAAAAACTTTATTCAAAATGAAACACTCACCCAAATCTTCATTGAGTACTGTTTACAATAGCCACATGGAAGCAATCTAAATGTCCATCAACAGGGGAATGGATAAAGATGTGGTACATATATACAATGGAACATCACTCAGCCATTAAAAAGAATGAAGTAATGCCATTTGCAGCAAATGAATGGACCTAGTGAGGGTTATACTGAGTGAAATAAATCAGATAAAGAAGGAGAAATATTGTATGACATCCCTTATATGTGGACTCTAAAAGGAAATAATACAAATGAACTTACTTATGAAACAAAGAGACTCACAGAGTTAAAAAACAAACTTATGGCTGCCAGGGAGTTTGGGATGGACATGTACACACTATTATATTTAAAATGGATAACCAACAAGGTCCTACTGTACAGCACAGGGAACTCTGCTTAATGTTATGTGGCAGCCTGACTGGGAGGTGGGCTTTGGGGAAGAATGGATACATGTCTATGTATGGCTGAGTCCCTTTGCTATTCACCTGAAACTATCACAACACTGTTGATCAGCTATACCCCAATACAAAATAAAAAGTTCAAAAAAAGTAACATAAGTACACAAATTCTGCAGGATATTTACTCCTACTGAGAATAGTAAGAGCCAGGTGTAAAACTGTTCTGAACACCAGGCCTCTCCCGATAAAAGCAAGGCATAGATGCTACAGAATGCCACAGCAAGCTCTCATTCCTAGTATATTTTTGAATAATTCACAAGAGCAATCAGTATGCTAATTTCAAAGAAGTATTAAACAACATATTATTGAAACACTGGTGGTAACTAGTGGTTACGTGTAAACCTCACGGTCCAAAGGCAATGGGAGCAGGAGTTCCCACCCCATGGGTGCTCCCCATCCTGAAGACCTCACCTTTCTTGTTTGGCTCCCTCAGCCTCAGTCTGAGACACAGACTTATTTTTCTGCTGTTTTAAAACATTGTGGACCCGGATCTTGTAGCTCTCAAATTCAGAGGTGACCGCAGCTTGTTCTGCCTATAATGGTTCAGAAAGAAAGAAGTCTGACCACTGTATTTTTTAGGTCACGTGATCCTCCTGTTTTCTCTCAGATTGTGAATGAAGATGAAAAAGTTTCTCTGAAGATAAGTAATGCCTCTGACACTCCTTAGTCCCTCCATGAACTTTCCCTAAATAGTGTACTTCTGTTGGCCTTACACTTTTTTAAGGTCTCTGAATGACATATCTTGTCTGACAGGAGGTATATTTCTACCTGTTTTCACCTAGTAGATTACTGCCCCTTTTTTCCCCCCATATTGTTATAATAGCACTATTTAGAATAATTTTCACTTATTAGAAATATTAGACAATATTTCTAATTGTCAATAGACAATTTAGAATATTATTATTAGAATATTCTAATATTATGAATACCTAATAGAATATCTAATATTATGTCAATATTAGAATAATATTTCCTGTTTTTATAAATACACGAAAAATTAATTCAAAGAGGTGAGGCTACTTGCACTTTGGTTTTCAAAAGAGAGTGGGAAAAGTGTAATTCTAGGTCCTGGGTTTCCTGAAGTGCCCTGTGACCTCTCAGCCCTACTGCCCAGGACGCTCAGAAAGAGCCATGCCTGTTAACAAGTCAATTGCAGGGGTCTGTTCTGTACACTGAAGAAGTGGCGCTTCTATTAGAATATGATTTCATAGTCATTTAGCCCTTGGAGAGAACTCTAACCTTTCTAACGAAAAAATTTTTTAAAAATTTATTTACACACAGAAACTGCAAAACAAGGTTAAAATGGAAACAATGTGTACCTCTGTCTTTCCTTTTAGCAGAAACAAGTTGTGCTAGTAAGGGTCTGGGTTGTCTGGGCTGAGGTCAGGTGGAGGGGTCGAACTGCTGGGAGCCTAGCCCCGCCCCACAACCGGAGGACGCACCCTGGCCTCGCGGCACTCCTCCTGCAGGGCTGATACCCGCTGCTGGTAGGCACCCAATGTGCGCTGGTGCTGGTCCGCCGATGCCTTCAGGCGCTCATGGGCTTTGTGCTTCTCGGCCGTCACTTCCGCCAGCTGAATCTGGGGGCAGAGGCTTTCGGTGAGGAGCGAGGGAACCAGATCTTTGCTGGTTAAACAGACTTCCCTTAAAGGTCAAGTTGGGGTTTGAGAGGGGACTATGTGTAAGAGACATAAGAGTAGGAATTTTAACTTATTATTCAAAGAGTAGAGCTAACATGAGTAGAATATTTTCTCAATAAATTAATTTGGTTTTCCTTAAATCAATCAAATAATCATGAAAAAATTTCAGAACACATGTCACAGTTCAATGTTTAATTAAATACCTCAAGCTGTTATACATAAACATAATGAATACAGAAATAAATTATTGCTTCTATTTTCTCAAAAATGCTGGCTGATAAAGGATACTTAGGGGGAAGAAATGTGTGTGCGCAAACGTATATTTTGTGTGTGTGTGTGTGTGTGTATGTATAAAACCCCCCACGTGGCAGCTTACTTCTACATGGAAATTTCTAAAAGCCTTTAACAGTAAAAAGAATCTTACTTTACAGACTTCTACTTGCTGCTGGCTGGCTTCCAGTTCACCCTTTAAAGATGCCTGAAGCATTAAGTGATCAGTCTCCTGCAGAACAAGAAACCTGGTTAAATTAAATAACGATGCTATTCATAAATACTTGTATTCAAAGATAGAACTCAGGAATGCGCATACCGCTTGCCTCAAATCTGCCAGTTCTTTCTTGGTTTTCACAAGTAGCTGTTTGATCTTGGTATTCTTTTCCTCATACTGCTGTACCACAGCCTGCAGCGAAGCTAATGGTAAAGATCATTTTAGGGGAAAGGTTTACAAGTGGATATAAGTAACCGAACAAGAATCTTTTCTCTGTATTAGCCTATCTCTGAAAGGAACCCGTCTTAGCTTTTTATTACAAACAGTCCTGGGTGTTCACTGGAAGGACTGATGCTGAAACTGAAACTCCAGTACTTTGGCCACCTCATGCGAAGAGCTGACTCACTGGAAAAGACCCTGATGCTGGGAGGGATTGGGGGCAGGAGGAGAAGGGGATGACAGAGGATGAGATGGCTGGATGGCATCACCGACTCGATGGGCATGGGACTGGGTAGACTCCGGGAGTTGGTGATGGACAGGGAGGCCTGGCGTGCTGCGATTCACAGGGTCGCAAAGAGTTGGACACAACTGAGCAACTGAACTGAACTTTAAACATATATGACACTAGTGACAATAATATAGTAAATCCCACTGTACCCGTGACCACCTTTAACTACCACCAACACAGGCTAATCTCATCTCACCAAGCGAGGTGTCAGGCCTGCATGCACCGTGGCTGCTGCCTGATTCTGGGCACAGCCTGTCTGCACGCTACTTATGGCTGCTTTAGCCCAGGAGGAACAGGACAGAAACCTCAGGGTCCGCGAAGCAGAGAACACATGTGTCCTGCCCTTTACTGCAACCCAGACTCACCTGCTGACCCAACTCCTGTGCCGCACAGGTACTCCCCACCCCTGAAACCCACTTGTCTGTAAGTATTTTAGCATGCATCTCTGAAATAAGGGCATATACTTACTGCATATCTAAAAGCTAAAGACTTTACAATAAGAAATACCTCAAAAGACATGCTGTGTTTCCAACCACCTGGTCTGACTTTGTGACACTAATTGTCTTGCAGGACAAAGTTCAATAAAGGAAGACTGAAATGTGATCAAAACAAAACACTTTTATGTAACAGAGGTAAAGAGGAAGCCAGTATCAAACGGGAGTAAAGTGGATGCATTTTCCAGATCACAGGACCAACCACAGAAGCAGGCCAACCCAGCCGCAGCTGTCGTGAAGCAAATACAGAGCATCTGACAGAGACCACAACCTGGTCCTTGACAGAACAAGTAACACGTGGGTCCATGTGACGGCAGCAAGAAGACCCCAAGTGCAACGACTACTGCCATGAAGCTGAATCCACACCCACTGACTACATCACTCAGTAAACAAGAGCAGGTGTTCTGTAAGAATACACTTTGACTTGCCTTTAAGATGTGTCACCACCAGTAACTTCCTGGCAACTATTTACCCAGTCCTGCAAAGACTGTACAAGGCACACATTACATATAAAGCCTTTAAGTGCTCCAGGAATCATGACAGAGTAAGTTCCTGACCTTTAAGAACACAGACTGAAATGAAGGATAATCTCTGGATAATGTGATGATGTAAAGCAAAATAGAAACATTCAAAAGAAATATAAAGGCTGTGGGGACCCACGTGAACTAATGGTCACAGCCAGGTTACATTTGCATGGGACAAGGAAGGCTTGTGGGGACAGCAGACACTGGAGACTGAGGATGACTCCAAAAGGTGCTCACAGGGTAGGAAGGTGAGGGCACAGTGAATGAAGGACAAGTCTGTGGAAAAGCAGCCACCATGTTTCAGAAGAGGAAGGGCCGCTGTGCCCCAGAGGTGAGGAGGGTGCGTGAGGAGCCAGACGGGCCCTGCAGAGGGGCAGGGCTGAGATTGCAACACATGGCAGAGTGAGCTGGCTGACAGTTTTGCGTGGATACTTTCCAACATGTCCCCACTCTCCTCCCCGTCCAGCCACAGCCCCCAGCTCAGGCCTCAGGGCCCCTGCCTGCCGAGGTGCCTGCATTTCCCAGATCCCACAATGGGCTGAATCATCAAAAGGGCCCAAGTCCACTCTGTGTTCAGGTCCCTCCTGAACTGGATCAAGAGGATCTTCTGAGCATACTTGACTTCTCCCTCAGAGGTCAAGCCCTTTCCTCCAACCTGTAAAGACTTCCACACTATGTTACTCCTTTCTACTTCTGCTCCTAACTATGGCTGCAGAAAGGACTGCCCTGTCCCAGTTCGCTCTCTCTCTCCAAATCCTAAGACTCAACACAAATCCCAACCCCCAACCATTCGTCCACAGAAGCTTCTCCCTCTGCACTCTTGACACCCAGTGACTGGACCTCTTGTGTCTGCGCTGACTCACCAGCGAGAGGTGCTGGCCTTCTTGAATGAGCAGCTCTTTTTAAGTTTTACCAAGACCTGAGCCTCTTTTTTAGCTAGCTGGCTAACTCACAAAGTCAAATGTCTGCAAGTGTTTGTGACCTGGAGCCCTGCTACCCAGTATGCACAAGAGCACAGCTGGAAGACGGGTGCGTGCACAGGCAAGGGCCCAGAGAAACCAAGCACAGAAAGTATCTGAAAACCCTGTTAATTATTTAGGAATGAAAAAAACCCATGGGTCAAAGAGATTCAAAGAAAATTAAAAACATCTCAAGCTGAATTAAAATAAAAACACAACGTATCTGCTTGTTAGCTGAAGGCCTGCCTAAGGGACATGCACAGCTCTAGTGCTTACGTTGAAAATTATTTCACAGATAAAATAGAACAGAATCACCTCAGAAAGATTCCATGGCCATTACAACCATCCTGCTCTGCTGACAACAGGACCCCTGAGAAATGTTTACAGGACTGAATGTACACAAGGGCACAGTGGGTAGTCTTAGTGCCCCCCTCTTTAGTCGCCAGTCACGGTCCCTACTGTGAGGATGACTGGGCTGCCAAGGGCTGGTCAAGGAAACCATCAGCACTGGCCCCCACCCCCCATCCCCCACTTCTGCTGAAGAGAGTCACCATGAGGTGCAGTGGGTTCTGTTTTACTCACTCATTTCTTCTTGCAGGGTCTCTTGTTTCTGTTTTTGGATTTTTATTTCCTGCTCCAAATCTTCTATCTTGCTGTTTTTATTAGCTAACTTCTGATTCAGTTCTCTCATCAAGCGTTCGTAATCAGCAATTTCCATGTTCATCAACGTGGTCTGCTGGGCATCCTGCACAGGTTACAATGAGAGGGCCATGTGACAGTGGATGAGCTAACTCTGTCTAGCAATTTCTGAAAGGATCAAGATCACAACACACCTGCTCTAGGATGCTTTTCTGTAGCACAGAAACTTCATATGTTAATGAAGATGCTGGGGTACTTCCTAGATTGTAATTTCATAAAATTGACTGCTTTTGTAAATAGTTAAACTTTCTCAGTTTCATTGTATATTATAATTTTTGTTAACTACAACTGGTCTAATCTTATCTATAAAATATTCCTATTTTAAGCAGCTCTTATAGTACCTTAATTTTTGTTCCCATCTTTGGAAGAGTAGAGAAAAATTCACCAAAGTTCTCAGCATAATACAAACTTCAGTTCTTGACATTAACTAAATTTTCATGTGTCACAGAATAATCATGTACAAAAAATAAAACAGCAAACCAAGTCTAAATTCTTCCAGAGAGATGGGCACTTGGACACCTAAGTTAAATTTTCCATATTCTGAGGCAAATAATTTATAAAGGAGTACTTCAGTATCACAAATAACCTTGTTTTTGAAATATTACTTTTCAGGGTCTATAGGATAGTTTAAGAATGAGAACATTGCTATTCTGAGTCTAGTGTTTCATTTTACCTTTCTGAAAGTGAAAGTCACTCAGTCGTGTCCGACTCCTTGCGACCCCATGGACTATACAGTCCATAGAATTCTCTAGGCCAGAATACTGGAGTGCGTAGCCGTTCCCTTTTCCAGGGGATCTTCCCAACCCAGAGATGGAATCCCGGTCACCCGCATTTCAGGCGGATTCTTTACCTTTCTAACTAGCTCTAATTCTTGCATGGTTTTCTGAAGCTGTTTCTTTTCCTTTTGAAGCTGTAGCTGAAGTTCTTCAAGTTCATTTACAGAACTGGCATGCTCCTAAAATTAAAAATAGAAACACTGGGACCCCTAAACCAACCAATGTTTAAAAAAAAAAAGCATTCATAACGGATTATAAAATACATCTGACATACAAAGTACAGAGTTTGGATATCTTTCCATATTTAAAAAATATACACCCAAATATCGTACTGTGGATTCTCAACTTCACAGTTGGAATTAATTAACTTCAATTAATTAACTTTAATTCCACATTAAGGAATTAATAAACTTTGCTGATTTAACAAATGCTCCTCATCAGCAAGTCTTTCCTTCACTGAACTACTGCAATAAAAACACCACTGTGTGAAATGAATTCACCCCACAGAACTGTTTTGACCTTTATTTTCTGTTCTTTCTGAAGTTTTTCAGCTTCCAGCTCTTTGTCTGCCATAGCCTTGGCTTTGTGGACTTCTAGAATCTGCACTTCCAATAAGCAGGCGTTAGACTGCAGTGTCTCGATACGGGCCAGGAAGTCTTCATTATCTGAGGTTAATTTTTCACACTACAATGACAAATGATTCATTACTGTAAACACACAGAAAATACACACAGGAGAGGAAGAATAAAATGGAACATAATGAGAATACTGGCACAGTATAAAAAAATGAAGATTTCGGAATCGAGTCCATGAAATGAAAATGCAAAAATCAAGAGTAAGTTTAAAACACAGTCACAAAAAAAAATAAAAAAAATAAAACACAGTCACTACTGATGTTAGTTTGGAAAACATTTCAAGTGACCAGGAGCACTAACAGAGGAAAAGGCAAAAAATGAAAAAAACAAAAACCAAAAAACCTCAGGGGAGCTGAGATTACAGCCGTAAGTAAGACAGGATGGTCGCCAGTTTATTGGTCATATTCTTCTCTCAACATTGGGAAAAAGAAAATAAAATTAAGTTTCTACGTACTAATTTTAACTTTTTGTGCAAAAAATATTAGAATTGAAATACACTTATTACAGTTTTCACATATGAAAGTCAAAGTGTCAGTCACTCAGTCACGTCTGACTCTTTGTGACCTTACGGACTGTAGCCTGCCAGGCTCCTCTGTCCATGGGATTCTCCAGGCAAGAATATTCGAGCATGTCATTCCCTTCTTAGGGGGATCTTCCCAACCCAGGGATTGAACTTGGGTCTCCTGCATTGCAGGTAGATTCTTTACCATCTGAGTCACCATGAATTTACTCAATTTAAAGTTACCTGAAAAGTCAAACTCCTTAATTGTCTTGTAAGGTCTTCTACTTGACGCTCAAAGTTATTGGCACGTTCTTTCTCTGCATCCAACTGCTCTGACTGCTTATCATATTCTGATAAAAGATTCTTCAACAAAAGACAAAAGTACTTAACTTCAGGATATTATCATACATGCAACTCCTCAGACTGTATGACTGGGCCATCTTAACATAAGCCTTAAGAGTTCATTCTGGAAGCCTGAAATATTTACTTAGATTCAACATTTGACAGACTTACCCCATGGCATCATACAATAAAATTAGCATAATCTAGATGACTTTTAGTATGAGGTGGTCTCTTAAAGGCTCGAAGAGGATTTAAAACATATACAATGCAATATCTCCAAGTTACCTATCTAGTCATCAAAAAATAAACTTCTGAAACATGAACAACATTTAAGCGGGCAGGAGAAAAAGTTTACCCTTGTCACCTGTTACCTACAGAGTCTTGCTGAGGACAGCCTCGGGCCTGGCCCAGGTGAAGCAGAGGTGCTCAAGGAATATGAGAGGACCCCACACACAGTCTCACACTCTGCAGCAGAACGCTCACGATTTTCTAAAGACCCTAAAACCACGTGACTTTTTCCTTTGATGTTCCTAGTCGGCCCTGCTCAGGAGAGAATCCCAGGACCGACCTCTGCAATCCCTACCAGCCAGCGAGGACATCCTCCAATGTGCAGCGAGACTCAACTCTTCCCTGTAGCCTGTGTTTTCTTTCCCTTTTCTGATAAATCCTATTTTCCCCCTGTTCCTGGTCAACTACTGACTGTTCTTCACAAAAATGCAGCCCTGTACAAAATAACACATGCCTCTGGCTTTCCCTGAAAGTGGCCTCAAGAAAGCACAGCTGGGCTGTCCTGCATGGACTGTGCCTTTGGAATTGTGTCCAACAACATGACTGTTTCTGACAACAGAGAGGTGCTGACTCTACCTGTGATCTGATTCAAGGCTCTTCGCTCCACTGCTGTCTGTTCATTCTTCCACCACCACCACTCACAAATCCTGACTGCTGCAGCTCCACACTAAGTCTCGCAATAGGGCAGGGCTAATCCTCCCACTCTGTTCTTCCCCAATACTCTGTTGCCCCTTTGAGGTCTGACCTATATTATCTCTCTTCTTTCTAAAGAACTCTTAAATTTTTTTTTTTGGCTGCACTGGGTCTTCTCTGCTTTGCAGGGGCTTTTCTCTAGTTGTGGCATGGGGGCTACTCTTCCTTTTAGTGCATGGGCTTCTCTTGTTGCAAAGCACGGGCTCTATGGGCAACGGACTCCGGAGTTGTGGAGCACGACCTTAGTTGCTTCTCAACAAGTGGGATCTTCTTGGACCAGGGATTGAACTCGTGTTCCCTCCACTGGCAGGCAGATTCTTACCTACCACACCACCAGGAAAGTCTTAAAGAACTTCTTTCAACATTTATTGACAGGCATGTCTACTGGCAACAAACACCCTCAATTTCTAAGAAACTCTACTGCTCCTTCACTTCTAGTGCAAAGCATTCTAGCTTGGTGGGGTTTTTTCTCTCAAAACCTTAAGTAATGCATTTTACACTCTTCTCTTTTGTATGGCTCCTTGTAAATTTGATGTAATCCTCTATACATAATTTTTTTTTTCTGTGGCTTCTTTCAGGACTTTCATCTTTGATTTTCTGTAATCTGAAAATGACATGCCACGGTGCACCTCTTCTGGTTGTGCTACATGTGGTGTTCTCTGAACTTCCTTCCCGGATCTGTAACTTGGCACCTGACATTAAACTGGGTAATCAGTCATCCCTGTGCCAAGTATTTCCGTGTTCCTTTCTCTCTCTTCTCCTATGGCATTCATATTGCACACATGCTATACATTTGTAGCTGCCCCACAGTTCTTGGGTGTTCTACATCCACCTCCCCCACCCCGCCCCCCGCCCACACCGGTCCTATATTTTAAAGAAGTAAATTGGTATACTTGGTCTACCTTTAGAGGAAAATAAATTAGTTTATATGGTTCTCAAAATGTAAAGAAGCAAGCTCCTAATGACTCATAAAAGACATAAATCCATATATAAATTTCAAATAAGCATTTTTTAAAAATGAATGAGGTATCTTTATGTGTTAAGGATACCAATCCCTTGTTATATTTTCATTTGTTAGTTTTATCTAGTTCAGTCTCTTTCCCCTTGTAACTTCTTAAGTTTAGAAAAGTATTTTGCATCTAGAGATCACATGATCATGTATTTTATTCTAATTTTAAAAAATCACTTTCATTTATGACAAAACCTCAGAATTCATTTTGGAGAGTGGAACTAGGTTTTCCTAAAGCAGTTTTCTGATTTTTCCTTTCCTAGTTTCTCTGTTTTCAGGTCTCACTGGGGCAGCACGGTTTATTTACTTGCTAGAAGAAGAGATCTGGAACCAAATGCTTGAACTTAACCCCCGCTCCACTGGCTTCTTGCTCTGTGACCTGACTCCTCGCTGGTAAACCAGCAACGTTAATAACATGCTTATCACACACACACACACATTACGTGTGACAGGACATGTCAAGCACTGAGAAGAATGCCTGGCCTACAGTGCTTGTTGTTACACAGAAGTCACCCCACCCACCTTAACTTTCCTACACACTATTTCCTTATCTGTCTGCTCTTACTGCCACTGGGACTAAAGGCCAGGCAAGCAGGAACTCCACCTACCTGGTTGACCACTGTCTCTTTAGTACTCAGGCTCAGCCTGGCTGTAGAAATATTCAAATGCATAAAGAAACAAAATGGCATGTTCTTATGTTTTATTTTTACATTTTCCTATTATAGTGTCTCATGTTATTTAGGCTGATGAGCAATAATACCCCCAAATAGTGTTTTCACTTTTGTGTTAGACATGTCTAACTTTCACATTTATTCCCTTGGCCAGAGGACTGTAACAGTAGCCATTTTTGTTTGTTACTCATTTTATTAGGAAATCCCAAACAGAAATGGTAGTTTTAAAAGACAATACTTTAAAGGCATATTTAAAGGCTAGCTACTTAAAACCTTGATACTAGGATGACACATTACATACACACATACACAGACACACACACAGTGAAAACCTTTACTAAAACATACAAGATGACTATGTTATGGACAAGAGTTTTTGTTATCAGAGAAATGCAAATCAAAACCACAATGAGGTACCATCTCACACCAGTCAGAATGGCTGCTATCAAAAAGTCTACAAACAATAAATGCTGGAGAGGGTGTGGAGAAAAGGGAACCCTTACACTGTTGGTGGGAATGCAAACTAGTACAGCCACTATGGAGAACAGTGTGGAGATTCGTTAAAGAGCTGGAAATGGAACTGCCATATGATCCAGCAATCCCACTGCTGGGCATACACACCGAAGAAACCAGAATTGAAAGAGACATGTGTACCCCAGTGTTCAATACAGCACTGTTTACAGTAGGCAGGACATGGAAGCAACCTAGATGTCCATCAGCAGATGAATGGATAAGAAAGCTGTGGTACATATACACAATGGAATGTTACTCAGCCATTAAAAAGAATGCATTTGAGTCCGTTCTAATGAGGTGGATGAAACTGGAGCCTATTATACAAAGTGAAGTCAAGTCAGAAAGAAAAACACCAATACAGTATACTAACGCATATATATATACATAGGGAACTTAGAAAGATGGTAATGATGACCCTATATGCGAGACAGCAAAAGAGACACAAAGAATAGGCTTTTCAACTCTGAGAGAAAGTGAGGGTGGGATGATTTGAGAGAATAGCATTGATACATGTGTATTATCATATGTGAAACAGATTGCCATTCCAGGTTTCGATGCATGAGACAGGGTGCTCAGGGCTGGTGCAATGGGATGACCCTGAGGGATGGGATGACAGTGGATGTGGGAGGGGGTTCAGGATGGGGAACACATGTACATGGGGAACACGTGGCTGATTCATGTCAATGTATGGCAAAAACCACTACAATACTGTAAAGTAATTAGCCTCCAATTAAAATAAATAAACTAAAAAAAAGTTTTATATTTCAAGTACATTTCTTAGCTTAGAAGTTACAAATGTAACTTGTCATTAATGTAACTATTTTTACCTTATAGTTTTCAGCTCCTTGAATGAGATCTCTCATGGAAGTAGACAACTGATCCCTTTCTGAGCGAACAGATTCAAGTTCTTCCTGGAGCATCCGGGCCTATTTAAAATATGTGATAGTTTTTTAATGCACAGAAAAACTTGATTTTCTAAAAGGTAAGGTTCACAAATCTTACATTTTTAAGTCAACTTACTTCTTTTCTGCTAGACTCTAGTTCTTTCTTTGCTTTCACAGCAACTAGTTTTAACTTATTTATTTTCTCCTCTTTCTCTTTGGCTTCTTTTTCCAGGTATCCTAAAAACATAAAATGAAAGAATTATACATAAACTCAAATGAAAACTAGGGAAAAATATTAGAATTACTTATTTTAGTTCTAGAAATGAACTTTAATCTAGTACACAAAATATACAATTTGAAATTAAAATAAATAGCAGAGTATCTATCTTTAAGTAAAAGCTTGATTATGCATTTCCTAAGCAAGGCAAACAATGAACAGAATTCTCATATTCTTCGGTCTTCCAGAACAGCCCGTCTCCTCAGTGTTCATACATGGAGAGGCCATCCGGACCCCTGAACAGGAGAGCACTTCCTGGAAATGCAGGTATGCTGGGCTCCATGGTGGTGACAGCCAGTCAGGATGAAGCAGAGACGTCAAACGCTCTTCACCGTTCATGGTCCACAGGTGCCTCTGGTGGGTGGGTCTGATTTTTCCAGCTGGACTTCAGTATGTCCAGTGTGACTCTCCCTTAACCTCTCTGGCCATCTCCTGGACATAAACTCCATGCTCCAGATCTTACTTCTTGTGTCTCTGATGGACTTCGGTCATGATCTGAACTTCTGCACTTGCTGATTCATTGAGTTGTGCCTTTGTTCATCACTGCCTTCCTCGGCTATGACAGGGGCACCATCTGTGTGTGTAACGCAGGCCAACTCTTCCACTTCTGTGTCTCACCCCACACCCCCTCACCTACCTGGGCCATCAGTGCACAATTCTCCCCTCTTTTGTGCAGCAAAACCCACTCTAATGAATTCACCCTAACAGTTGACAGACATGCAACAAAAGAAATGCCACCAAGGGCTTAAGGTCAGAACAAAGATTGGAAGCAGCCAAGGAGAGGAGGGGAGGGTCATGAGAAGACAGGTAAGACCTCATTCACTCTCTCTCTCTCTCTCACACACACACAAACCCACACCACCCCTCTGGACTCTGTCCCTTCTCTTCCTTCTGAGCATGGTCTATGTCTGTTCCCCCATTTCTCTCCCCCATTTTCTCCTTGAATCCATTCCAGTCAGGCTTGTGCATACCATGGCAACTGTTATCAAGTTACCAACGACCTTGATGCTGCTTAGCTCGGGCTTGGCCTGAGTACTAAAGTGGCCTTTCTTCCCTCCTCAACACTTCCTCCAAATGCACTTCACCGGTCTTAGCTTCCAAGACATCTTATGCTCTGGGTATTTCTAACCCTCCAGCTATTTCTTTTCTCTCTTTTGCCATTTCTATCTTTCTTTTACTCGACAGAGAACTGTTTCTGGTCCTCGTCTTTCTTCTACACTGACTTCCTTGGTGATCTCCACCTCAGGGCTTCTAATGCTAACGATGCAGAGAACAGTGTCTTACCTGGTCAGCCTTCTCCCAGTCACCCCGACCATTCCAACCATCCATGAGAGAAGACTGTGGGTCACTCCAGATTGTTCCCACTACCCCCGCAACAATTAGGCATTAAAATGAGGAATTACAGGTACCTCACACAACCCCATCTTGAAATGTTACTCTGAGGGATAAGCAGGAGTGATGAAGCCAGACTCCTCCACACATTACGCTAGCCCTGTTGGGAATGGCCTCTCCCACTCTAGAACCTCCCAGGAGGCCCCTGGACGTCAGCGGTGTGAACATACCAGCACCTGCAGTCTCCTCCTGCTACAGCATCCTCCTTCTTGGGTCACATTACTCACTCTTTAAGACAAGGACAGCCTGTCCTGTGATGTTTCTCCCAACTCAACAAGCAGTTAATCATATTTTCCTGCACTGCCACCAGCGGACCTCGTCCATACCTCAAACTCTGGGGAGAACAGCTCTCTCTTGCTGTGCATTCTTAAAAGACAAAGACTGCATCTTAGTCACGTTCCTATCACCAGTGCCTAGATAGCTGGGCTTTCAAGCCAAGTTTGCTAATGAATGAAAAACCCTGAAACAAAACGATCATGGCACTTTTTATAAAGGGAATCACAACAGTCCTCTGGATGAAACAACAGAAAGTGAGAGTTTTGAAAGTGAAGGCGAGCAGAAGGGAGAGGCCATCAGAAGAAGAGTGATACTATGCTTTTAACACCTCATTAACTGGCGAGAGAACTTCCCACTCCGTTCTAATTCTATGAATCTGTTCAATTAACTGTGACAACATATGCAAAACCATAGTTACCTATTTTTTCTTCAAACTCTTTTACTGAAGGTTGATCACTTTCTACAGGTGATTTCTTGAAGGAATCCTAGATTTTATAGGAAAAACAAAGACAATCACTGCATTCCCCATGATGAACTGGCCGTTATGCTAAGCATGAAACAAAATTATTAAAGAGAATTCATACAGAGAGCAATCACCTGAACAGACTTTCTCTTCCCTTCAGAGACCCAGTAATTCTGATCTCATCATGCACACAGCATTCAGTATTAAAAACAACAGCAGCCAAGCCCAAGATGACCCACCCAACAGATAACAAATACACAATGTAATAAGGAAGAGATTAAACGATGACCATAGTTTATCCTGCCACAATCTTGGGAGGAAAATCTGAAGTTTTGGCTAAAATGAACTATTGCTTTAGCCTATTTTTTTGCTTAACAGTGTGCTTTAAGGTAATATGTGTATCACACAAGGGTAAAATTAAAATTTTTTCACATTTAGTTGTAGTTTTGCTGGTGACTACATTTGACCAACATTTAACCCCTGGCCACTTAATCTTATGTAAAATCCAGATTCCAAAATGATCCAAAACCAACAATAATCAGTATGATTAAGTGTGATGGGAATATGTTTAACGTACTTTCAAAAATTTGCATTTGAGCTTAAATGCTAAAAATTTACTTTGACTTCGAAGTGTAAAAACAGTAATATTTATATTGTCTAGCGCTTGTGACTAGAACTAAGAATTTACTTAAATAAAATTCACGTTAATATTACCTTTAATGATATTAACTCTGCTCTCACATCCCGCAATTCAGATTCTTTCTGTTCCAATAATGGCCTTAGGTTTTCAAGTTCTTTTATAAAATCTTTTTCTTTTTCGTGATGATTTTCATTTTCTCTATACAATTTTTGAGATACTTCTTCAACCTGAATTAGGAGATTCTGATTCTCAAACCTTGTTTGTTCACTGGCATTCTTCATCGCGAGAAGGTCAGACTGCAGGGCCTCCTTTTCCAAGAGGGCTTCATCTAACTCTTTCCTTAGGACAACTTTCTCTTGCTCGTAATTTCTTAGTAGAGACCTAAGTTCCTCACACTGAACCATATGCTCTTCTTGAAGGAGCTTAATCTCTTTTTCTAACTCTACTACCCTTTTTTCATACTGAAAATCCAAGTTGTGTTTTTCTTCACTTATTTTATCTAAGGATTCACCCATGGCTTGTAGGATGTTTACAATATCCTGTTCTTCCCTTTCTTGTGAAATCTTTGACTCCATCTGTTCAAGGAAACCACACAACTGAGCTTTAACAAACAGCTTCTGAACTTGCTCATTTTCCAACAGTTGATTCAAATTATCCCTTTCTCTGACAGCTAACCGAAGTTCCTCTTCTAATTCAGAGATCTGCTCCTGAAGTGTAACATCTCCTTCTTTTTGAGACAGGAAGGCTTCCAGATCCCTGCTCAGCACATTCTTCTCTGAACTCAGTCTGCTGTTTTCTTCACGAAGAGACTTCACTTCCAATAACGTGGCTTCCTGGTCTTCAGAGAGAGTTTTCAACTGAGTTGTAAGCTTTTCCAGTTTTTGGTTCTTTTCATCCTTTTCTTTTAAAGTTTCTTCTAGTCCTGCTGTTAATTCATTTACCTTCTGTTCCAGTTCACTGTTGTACTGGGCAGTCTGATCCACTTTTTCCCTAAGTTCTACAGTCAACCTTTCTTCCTTTTCACATTTTTTGTGGAGATTATCCATCTCTTCATGAGAACTTTTCATCTTACTTATGAAATCATATTTTTCCTCAGTAAGAGAACTTATCTTTGCTTCAAATTCTTGTAACATGGTATCTCTCTGACGGAGACTAACTAGATACAGTTCATTCTTCTCTTGAAGGTTCTTTATGGTATTTTCAAGTTCTGGTACACATTCCTGCTGTGACAATAAGTTATCATTTTCTCTCTGGAGACAAGTCACAGTTTCAAGAAGAGCATCTTTTTCATTAAATGCAGTTTGGAGCTTCTGCTGAAGTTCATTAATATTAAATGCTTGTTGTTGCTTCATTGATTCAAACTCTTGACTTATTTTTTCAGCAGATTCCCCCAGCTCTGTCTGTAAAATTTCCATAATCTCTCGTAAACCCTCGTAGTTTAACGTTGCTTCTTGCTTTTCTTGTTGTAGTTTTTCACACTGTTCCTTAAGACCCTGTATTTCAAACATTAATGCCAACTTTTCTTTTTCTGAATCTGACAAAAATGTCTCATTTAGTTCTGTTATTTCTTTTTGATGCTGTTTCTTCAGACTCAGTATTTCCTTGTTATGTTGTTCTATGGTGCAGCAAAACTGTTTATTTGCATCTTCTAGATCAGATTTTAATTTCTCGATTATATAGCCCTGTTCTTCTTTAGCTAGTAATAATTCATTAATTTTAAACTCTAAATCTTCCCGTTCATGAAAAAACTCATCCTTTATATGTTGAGCATCAATTTCAAGTTTTAATTTTAGATTATTCATGTAAGTTAACTCATCTTTTAAGATGCTATGTTGCGACTCCAGTTCCTTTAGGGCATCTTCTAAGTGTCTAAGTTTTTCATTTACTGCTTGTTCTACAAGAGAATCTTCCTTTAACAGCAAAGAACACACCTGATTTTCTTGGTCTGCACCTGAGGCTTTCCCTTCGTTTTCTAATTCACATTTATACTTCTCCTGAATGTTCATCTCACCTGCCTCACACTTTCTGACTAAGTTATCCTTTAGCTGGATCAAATAATTTATTTCTGCTTCGTGTTCTTTGGCAGATGTTTCAATTTGGCATATCAGTTCTTTCACCTCTTCTTGGTGTGTAGATTTCAACTGTACAAGTTCTTCTTGCAAACTATTAATATCTTTTTGGTACTGCTGACAATTAGCCTCAATCACTCCTTGGAGGTGAGTAATTTCTTGCTCTTTTTCATTTGTGGCAGTTTCTAACTGCTTTTGCAGACATAAAATTTGATCCTCAAAGTCTGGCTTAATTTTCTGAATCTCTTCTTGCAGCTTTTTAACATAATCTTCAGAATCACTCTGAAACCTGAGCTGTTCTGAAAGCTCTAATTGTTTTTTTGCTGTTTCTTCCACTTCCTTTTGCCAATCAGCTTTATCGTTACTATATTTGGATTGTATTGTTGCTAATTCATTTCTCAAATTTTCTATTTCTTTCCCATAGCTTCTTTGTGACTGTTCCAACTCTTTCTGCACATCTTCCAACTTAGTTACAGAATCCTATAAATGTAAGCACACAAAAATTATTTAAGACAAAACCCCTGCCCTCAGGAAAAATATGAGATACAGTCTCATAAAGAGGAAACAAGTAGCAATGTACACAGAGAAATATGATCCTTAGATCTCAAAAATTCTGCTTAGAAGCTCTGACCACCTTAAGAATGATGATGATATCCAGCAGTAGTACTAAAGTCTTACTCAAAGCAAGGAAATCTCTGAGTTTAATTTTGTTTTAAATGGTAATAAATTACCTAAGTTCTATTAAGTTACAGGCTTTAATGAACATCTCCTGAATAGAGTGATAAAGTTTTGGGGAGAAAAGTAGCACAGACCCAATGGCAGGCAAGCATCCCAGAAGTGAACAAGCAGCAGTATGTACAGTATGTGGAACCATCAGCATTTAAACTGGTAGTTTCTCATAAAACAGATATTTCATAAAATAGGTATTTTCCCCATTTTATTAAAAAATGATACTATAGCTAAAAAGAGTAAACAATGAACAGGTAAATGTTAGTTGTATCTCCCTGTGTAGCTCAGTGATTTCAGTTATCCTTCTTTTAAAATATCAGTCTGTTTCCTCATCTGCAAATATTATAGTTAAAATAAGATGAGATGCTTTTTTTTTTCTTAGTATTTTTTTAGTCTTATTTATATTTATTTATTTGTGGCTGTGCTGGGTCTTCACTGCTACTCAGGCTTGCCTCTAACTGTGGTGAGCAAGGGCTTCTCATTGCAGTGGCTTCTCCTATTGCACAGCTCAGTCTCTACGGCATGTGGTCTTAGCAGTTGTGGGGCACTGGCTTAGTTGCTCTGTGGCATGTGGGATCTTCCCGGGTCAGGGATTGAACCTGTGTCTCCTGCACTGACAGGCAGATTCTTTACCACTGAGCCACCAGGGAAGTCCAATGAGATGCTTTTTTAGATCTTGGTTCTAAAATTTACAACTATATTATATAAGTTAATTTAAAAAATAAAATAAAATAAAATCCTGCCTTACCTCAACCTCTTGCTTCATTTTAATATTTTCCTTCTTCAGAGAAATGCAGTGTTGCTCAGTCTCTGCTTTTTCCAGAAGAAGAGCATCCAGACGTTCAGTCAAGGCCTGTTTTGGAATAGGGCAATTTGTTTGAGGTTAAAAACAATGGATTGATTTAGCCATAATTATCTCCTCACCTCTCCAAACCATGCTAAAGTAAGCATATTTAAAACACTATACACAAGAACCAAGGGAAAAGGAGATAAGACATGTACATATGAAAAATCTCAATACAACTTTGAAAAACTGACAGTGGAGGAGGTGGAGGAATGAATTAGAAAGCAGCAGCAGGCTAGAATCTGAGGGCTCAAATGGAGAAACATACCAGAAGCTGGCAAACACTCACTAGAAAACCAAATGCTCAGTAATGGAGGCACCAGATATCACTGAGGTGGGTACAGGAAGTAGGTTCTAGTTGGGACTGACACTCTTGATCAGGAGTGCTTAGAACAATGGGCAAGCAAACCCCCAGTGTCCCTCCACCCCCAGAAAAGGTTCATACCCTGCAAAGATGAAATAGGAGAGGAACTCAGTGAAGTAGAAACCAGAACAAGCCAAGAGTCAGTTTCTTGAAAACAAAGCTAACAAAGCAGACCTCTTATGAGACTGATCAAGAGAAGACAGAAGTCATAAACACAATGAACAGAAAGGGAACCTATCTATATATAAACTACAGATTAAATAGTTAATATTATGATCAGTTATTAACCTGCCAATAATACCAAAAAGTAAAACGGTACAGATAAAAATTCCTAGAAAAATGTAACTCTCACACACACACACACACAAATCAATATTGTAACTACTTAAAAATTAAACTAGAGGTTTAAACAAAAGACACAGGAGGAAAAGAGAGCTTTGCAGGTGCGTTCTATCAAGTTTTCAAACAACAGATTATCCCCATTACATACGAGTTTCTTCGGAGAAAATAAAAAGCAAGAACTCTCAAGTTATTCTCACAACTGGCATAACTTGATAACAATATCCAAGGACTTTACAATGCAAGAAAATCATGGACCCATTTCACTGTGAATTTAATCAATCCTAAACCTTAAAACCTAGATAAAATCCTAAACAACAAAATCAGCTATCACCCTAGAACTGCCTCTGAACTTCTGAATGTGAAATAAAGAAAAAAATATAAAAACAAAGCAGATGCAGAAAAAATTAAGAGTTCTATATCAAGTTATAAACACTATTTATAAACATGAGAGTAGAATACAGCCACTTTTCAATACAAAATGCTAACCATCTTCCTCCTATGCCTCTGTTCTCAGGAACTTAGAGAAGAACATGGTCTACAGAACAAGGTTAACCAGGAAAATAAATGACATTCCACCCAGCAAGTGGGGTGGAGGTGAGGGGCTGAAGCAGAAAGCAGCACAGATATTCACTGGGTCATGGCACGAGGCTGGCTCTAGGAAAACCACAGCAGACCTAGAGACAACCAGAACAAATGAGCACAAGACAGAAGGCTTGAGGTGGCAGGTATCCAGGAAAAAGTATATGAATGATTATTTGATCTGTTTAACCATTTGGAAAGTAGGCATCATTGTGAAAGATAGCTAAGTTTTCATCAGTTATAACAGGAAGTTAATAGCTAAATGTCTCACCAAGGAATAAATCAAAGAATAGCACATATTATTTACAAACATAATTTCCATAAACTATTCAGTATTATAGTTATGAGCTGTTAGCACTGTTTCTAAATCATGTGCATACATTACTTTTGTTAAAACAATTTTAGTTTTAAAACTAGTTTTTTTCACACTACATAGTATTGCAATGTAAACTTTTTGATAAATTATCAGGGGAAGCCTGAAAACAATAATTTTAGAAGATATACAGAGGGCATTATTGGAAAACAGCTATAAATATCCTTAGAGATCAGAGGCACAAAATGCACAGTCATCTCCCAGGAAATACAAATTCCAGCAAAGAGAAAACAACAAGAGGGATATGTACAAGAAACTTCACATCCTAACTTGCAATCTTTCCCTTCCTGTGCATTTGGAAGCAGCAATATAAGCTCACTGTAATACCACACACCTCTCAGTTTGACATGGAAAATAGGGATTTTTATTTTTTTAAAAGTCAAATATGACAGGTTTGCAATACAACTTCAGATATATTTCAATGCACCAGAAGATGACTATCACAAATTTAATAATTGAAACTTGTAGAAATGTTAGTGAAAGTGTTTATTACTCAGTTCTGTCTCTTTGCAACCCCATGGACTGTAGCCTGTCAGGCTCCTCTGTCCATGAAATTCTCCAGGCAAGAGTACTAGAGTGAGTTGCCATTTGCTTCTCCAGGGGATCTTCCCAACCCAGGGACTAAACCCAGGTATCCTATATCTCCGGCATTGGCAGTGGGATCTTTATCACTAGCACCACCTGGGAAGCCTCCTAAAAAGCCATACATTTTTATGATGAACAGAAAACTTTACATTCAAAGTCATGTTTTTCCAGTGTACTTTCTCCCAATGAAGGAATAAAATGTAGCAGGAAAGTCTGTTCCCTTTCTCAGATGTGTAGATGATGTATTATACTGCAATTCTGTTTCTAAAACAGAAAACTCAAAGCAGCTGATTAGCTGATGCTCAAGCTCCTCCAATCACTCTCCAGTGTAATCTTCTCATTAGGACTGGAAATCAAAAGATTTCATTCTCATTTAATTTTCAGTTCAGTCGCTCAGTCGTGTCTGACTTTGTGACCTCACGGACTGCAGCATTCAAGGCTTCCCTGCCCATCACCAGCTCCCAGAGCTTACTCAAACTCACGTCCATCGAGTCGGTGATGAACAGAATTATCTCATCCGTGTTGTTCCCTCCTCCTCCTGCCTTCAATAGTTCCCAACATCAGGGTCTAAGGAGTCAGTTCTTCGAATCAGATGGCCAGAGTACTGGAACTTCAGCATCAGTCCTTCCAATGAATATTCAGGACTAATTTCCTTTAGGATTGACTGGTTGGCTCTCCTTGCAGTCCAAGGGACTCTCAAGATTCTTCTCCAACACCACAGTTCAAAAACATCAATTCTTCGGCGCTCAGTTTTCTTTATGACCCAACTCTCATACCCTTACATGACTATTGGAAAAACCATAGCTTTGACTAAACAGACCTTTGTCAGCAAAGTGATGTCTCTGCTTTTTAATATGCTGCCTAGGTTGGTCATAGCTTGTCTTCCAAGGAGCAAATGTGTTTTAATTTTATGGCTGCAGCCACCATCTGCAGTGATTTTGGAGCCAAAGAGAATAAAGTCTATCACTGTTTCCCCATCTATTTGCCATGAAGTGGTGGGACTGGATGCCATGATTTTCGTTTTTTGAAAGTTGAGTTTTAAGCCAAGTTTTTCACTGTCCTCTTTCACTTTCATCAAGAGGCTTTTCAGTTCCTCTTCGATTTCTGCCATAAGGGTGGTGTCATCTGCATATCTGAGGTTATTGATATTTTGCCAGGCAATCTTGATTTAATTTTACCAAGCTTTTACTTTCTGAGACTTAAGTGGTCAGGGTAACATGCTTTAGTATTAAATTAATAACCTGAAAGGTAAACTTAGCTAACTTAAGAGAGCTTTTTACCCTCATTTTTAAGAGTAGTTTTGACAGAACCGGAGAATACATGAACAAGGAGGACATAGGGACACATGTTTAATATTTAAATATTCTGAAATGTAAGTGTATGGAAAATATTTTAAGGGCTAAGAGTTCACTGACACAATGGCATCTGTTCTTTTCAGATACAAAAACCTGCTTTTTAGTGTGTGGGTGAGCATGTATGTATATATGCATACATCTATGTATACAATATCCCCTACAAATAATACACGGTAATAACAAAATCACTGAGTACTTATGGGACAGATCCAGCTCTCAGCACTGTGTGTGCTGACTCTAGGAAAGTAAGTCTTGTTATTCGTTATTCTCTCTAGTCTCCAGTGGAAGAGTCACAGAGAAGTTAGGAAACGTAGTCATGGTCACACAGCCTGCATGTGACAGAGCAGGGCCTCAAGATCTGAATCAGGCAGTCTGGCTCTAGAGTCAGGTTCTTTAATTAATTACTGTGCTTAGTCACTCAGTCTTGTCTGACTCTTTGCAACCCCACAGACTGTAGCCCGCCAGGTACCTCTGTCCATGAGGATTCTCCAAGCAAGTATACTGACTGGAGTGGGTTGCCATGACCTCCTCCCGGGGATCTTCCCAACCCAAGGATCAAATCCAGGTCTCCTGTACTGCAGATGCATTCTTTACCATCTGAGCCACCAGGAAAGCCGTAATTAATTACTGGGTTAGCCACAAAGTTTGTTCAAGCTTTTCTGTAAGCTGTTATGAGAAACTGGAATGAATTTTGTGGCCGACCTTGGCTATTAATAATTAGGAAAACACGTAACGACCAAATAAAATCATTATGATTCAGAAATGCTTAAACCAATCTGTACATTACAAATCCAAACGTTATTTGTGCACACCATTCAGAATTCATATACTGTTTTGGCTAAATAAAGAACAAAATGGCAGTACGAGGTGTACACAGGGATTTAAAGACTCCTTGAACTTTCTGGGAGCCCCTCGACTGTCCACCGCTCCCAAGCTGGGAGAGTAAGACAATATATAATCAAAGACTAGACAGACAGCAAGATTCAAATTACAAACATGGAAAAGCAAGAAAAAAAATTACTGCAGAGCTTTCAGAAGCAAAGAAACTTTAAAGACGGTCAGGCCAAGTGGGGGAAGGAAAAGCATTTAATTAGCGTTAAGGGCACGTAAGGGCTTCCCTGGTGACCCAGTGGTACAGAAACCTCCTGCCAGTGCAGAGGGCTTAGGTTTGATCCCTGATCCAGAAAGAACCCACATGCTTTGGAGCAACTAAGCCCCTAGGCCACAACCAATGATCCATGAGTCCATGTGCCACAACTACTGAAGGCCACACACTACAGAACCCGTGCTCTGCAACAAGAGAAGCCACTGCAATGAGAACTGCGTACATCAAAACAAAGAGTAGATCTGGTTCACAACTAGAGAAAGCCTGAGTAGCAACAAAGACCCAGCACAGCCAAAAATGAACAAATAAATTTTAAAAATTATTTTTAAAATAAGGGCCTTTGAGTAAGAATAAGCAACTCAGGTTTTTAAACAGGGAATAACAAGATAAAAAGAGTATTCTGTGATCTGACAAGGGTATGTAGAACTAAGAAGAGAGTGAGTCCAGTTACAGGGTCAACAAGGTTAAGTGTGCTTCATAAGGATGACATGAAGTGCTTCACAAAGAGCCCTGGAAATGGAGAGACTCCTCAAAGCCCTGCTCGGGGCTGGGTTCCTCATGGGCAAGGGAAGAGGAGGACTGAGACCGAGGCGGCAAGCATTAAGGACAGAGTGAGTGGGATGCAAAGGACAGAAAGCGACACCAGGTCAGAACAGAAAGGGCAGCAGACTTCATCCACCTCTCTCCACACACTTAACCAGAGAGATGGAGCATGTAACCTTGGGCGGGAGCAGCTGACAGCCCTCAGGAAATCCGAATTATCATTGGGCATCTCATCTAAAGAAACAAACAAAAATCAAAGCGACACTCACACTGTGTCCTTACCTTAATGATGTCAGCTCCTCCAGCAACCAGCTTTGACCTTAATTCTTCAACTTCTTTCTCCAACTCTAAACAATTATGAAAAAATAAAAAAAAGATACTAGTTCAGAAATGAAGAAGGAATTACTGGCTAAAGTGAGAAGTACATTCTTTAAAAAAAAAAAAAGCACTATAAATTATAATACTTTTTAAGAAATAGCACATATTTTTGAGAAAGCATTAAGTTTACCTGGCATTTCTTTCATTTCCCTTTTTATCATGGAAAACTACAAATTAAAAAAACTAGAGAGAATAGTATGATTAACCTCTATGCTCCATCATCTTGGTTTAATACTGACTAAATGAGCAATATTATTTTATCCCAACCTGTCTTCACTTCCTCTTTTCCCTCTTCTCTTATGCATCCTGACATTTCTGAAGCAAATCTCAGACATTATTTCAACTGTAAATAACTTCTGTCTAATCTTAAGAGCAACAACTAATCTCATATTAAACATACACAGTAATCTATTTCATCAACTCATGTCCAGATCTGGTGCCTACACATTTCCAAATAAATTACTCTCTTTATCACAAGTGGATCCAACCTTTAAAAACACAACTAAACCTGTTCTAGTAGAAAATAAGTGTTAGCTTTTAGACTGGGCAGTTAAGTCACTGAAAAGAGCTCACCCACACATATTACAAAAGGGAACTAACACCTAATCTTTGTGGAATATAAAGAAACACAAACTGAATGGGGAATCAAGCAACTTCAGTAAATATGCTTCAGAATTCCAGGAAAGAAGTCTTTTATTGCTTTATTTAGGGCCTTTTTTTTTTTTCTTCAACTTATTTGGGCTTAGAACCTCATGTCTCTAACATATCAACTGCCAACTTTAGGAAAAAATGCCTTACTCAGAAGAATATACAATCCACGGGAGGTTAAAAAAAATATGCTTAACTTTAACACACTATTTCTTAAAATCCTTCTCCCTGACTTTTTTTATCAATTCAAAGGAAGCTGCAGTTTAGGCTTATGAGATTAAAAAAAAAAAAAAATCAAAACAAGTGGTGAGAATACTAAGTAAGATTGCACTACTCTAATATTATTGGATTCACTGATAAAACAAGCCAGTGTACTATTAAAAAACTAGTATTTGCAATCATGATTAAACCAGACTGTGGACAAGATGAGTATTTTCAACCCAATACCTGTACATCTCAATTTTGTTTTCTGTATTAGCATCATCTGCTTCTTGGCAAACTTGATAAGGTCTTCCTTGGGCAAGGCTTCCAGCTGGAAGATGTAGAGATATTACCAACTTGTTATAATTCATGTTTCTACTATACCACAAAAAAGAAACATAAAGTCTGCCGAAATACAAAAAAAAAATCCTACTGAATATTTATATCAACCAAATACCACATTTTTTAATATTCAGTTCAGTTCAATCAGTCATGTCTGACTCTTTGCCACCGCATGGACTGCAGCACACCAGGCCTCCTTGTCCATCACCAACTCCCAGAGTTTACTCAGACTCATGTCCATTTAGTCAGTGATGCCATCAACCATGTCATCTTCTGTCGTTACCTTCTCCTGCCTTGAATCTTTCCCAGCATCAGGGTCTTTTCTAATGAGTCAGTTCTTCGCATCAGGTGGCCAAAGTATTGGAGTTTCAGCTTCAGAATCAGTCCTACCAATGAATATTCAGGACTGATTTCCTTCAGAATGGACTAGCTGGATCTCCTGTCCAGGGGACTCTCAAAGAGTCTTCTCCAAAACCACAGTTCAAAAGCATCAATTCTTTGGCGCTCAGCTTTCTTTACAGTCCAACTCTCACATGCATACATGACTCCTGGAAAAACCATAGCTTTGACTAGATGGACCTTTGTTTTTTAAGATCAGCAAATCCAAGTTTAACTCAGTAATTATTAGTTAAGCAACTACAATGAAGTGTAAAAAAACCGCACATATCCTCTTGCTACACAAAATTATTGTTACAGGTTAAGACATTTTCTTTAATTTCTTTAACTGCAAAATCAAGGAACTGGGACTAACTTTACTTAAAGTTCCTCAGTTGTGTGAAACTTTCGTCCTATTCAAACTGAAAGAAGCCTCTGGCTACGGGAAAACACGTTAAGCCCTAATTACAGCAACAAGATGAATCAGGGCGCATTTAGGATTTAACTGAAAAATGAGGAAAAGTTACTTAGCGCCTGTGGGCTCAGTAGGGTAAAGCTGGGATCACAGAAGTATTTAACTCCGGGTCACAGTGAAACTTCCGGGAACACAGAGTTTGGACGACTGTCTGAAACTCTGCCGTAGCAGGAAACCTCCACCAACTCTGGACCGACCCTCGCCCATGCCATGGGGGTGACCTGTGTCCACCTCAGAAGAGGCGCCGGCAAGACCGAGCCCTCGACACCACCCGCCCGCCCGTCCGGCTTGGTCCGGTCGCCGCTTGGACCTCAGAAACCAGACTGTTTCGTTGAACGTTTGAAACTGCGGCATCTCAGAGGCACGCTGACCGGGGCAGCATGAAAAGCCAGGCTTCACCCCAGCGAACTCAGAGGGAGCTCCCCCTGACCGCTCAGGCCCGGACCCCGAGGAAAGCTGTCCCCCAGGCTGTCCCCTCCCGGTGGGACCGGCCTCTCAGACGTCTCTTCACCTTGGACTTCCCGGTCCCGGGAGCGGCCGGCGAGGCCACCCCGTCGTGAACAGGCTCCTGCAAAACACAACGAAAGCCGGCCAGTCAGGGGCGGCCGTGCAGACCCCGGCAGGCGAGGAGGTGGTCCCTCGGCTCCCGAGCCCTCGCGTTACCTCCATGGCCGCCCGCAGCCCACACTTCCACCCCGCGCCTCCCGCGGACCGCCGCCGCGGGTTAAAGGTCTCGCTTCTCTGCCGGCCCCGCCCCCGCGTCTCCACGGCTACGGGCCCGCGGCGCTCGCGCTTCCGCTTCCGCCTCGGGAGGTGGCTTCCCCCGCCCCGCCCCGCCGCACCCGCCCCGCCGGAACCGCCCCGCCCCACCGGAACCGCCCCGCCCTGCCCCGCCGGAACCGCCCTCGAGGAGGCGGGGCGGGGCGGGGCTCACCCGGGGGCGGGGCTCTGTGCTTGACGCAGGTGTTGGGGCTTCGGGCTCTCCTGGGAAGGTCTGGCCCTGCGCAGCTAGGCGGCTCCGGCGGCCTCCCTAGTCACATTTCTTTCACTTGTTCCATTCCCGTCCTTCTCTCCCGTGTCCTGTCCCTTCTCCTGCCCCATCTTCTGTCCACTTTCCTGTCCGTCGTCTGTCCCATCACCTGTCCCATCTCCTGTCCCCTCACCTGTCCCCATTTTTGTTCTGATTCCTGTCCCTCTTCTCTCTCATGTCCTGTCCTCTCAGCTGTCCCATATCCTGTCTCCTCCTTCATCTGCTATCTCCTCACCTGTCCCCATTCCTATCCGTCTCCTGTCCCCTCAGCTATTCCTCTCTTGTCCTCTCACCTGTCCCTATTCCTGTCCTTCTCCTGTCCACTCTCTGGTCCCCTCACTTCCCCCATCTTCTGTCTCCTCCCCTGATTCAGATGCTGTTACTTTTTCGAAGCAAGCAACGTTTGCTTGGTTTGTGAAATTTTACTCATGAATTTTACTTCACAGCCCTCTGTGAAGACTGAAAAATCATATTAGAATCTCAGGAGTATATGCCTATCCCTTAGATAATTATCTTTAACCCATCGAATTCTACACATATCTCAGAGTGTGTTGTTCACAGGCCTAAAAGACCTTGTTTCTATTCACATCAAATAAACCAGACACAGAGACATTTGTCCAGCTGAAAGAACATGTAAGAAACCACAGCTATAGTCTCATTTCTTTACCCACTGCAGGTTGAGTTTTAGGTCTCCTCATTTCAGATGATCTATTATTATAGGATTGAATTTGGGTGGGGTTCAGAATAAGGGGACTGGTGTGTTTAGGTGGATTCATCTCTAATGTGTCAGAAAAGCAGTGGCCTCACAACCTTCTCCTGCTACTTGAGAATATGGTGGGTTTTTTTTTTAAAGTATCATCTGAAGCCTGAGACTTCCCAGGGTGGCACTAGTGGTAAAGAACCCGCCTGCCAATGCAGGAGACAAAGGAGATGTGGGTTCAGTCCCTGGGTCAGGAAGATCCCCTGGAGGAGGGCAGGGCAACCCACTCCAATATTCTTGCTTAGAGAATCCCATAGACAGAGGAGCCTGGCAGGCTACAGTCCATGGGGTCAGAAGGAGTCAGATATGACTGAAGCAACTTAGCACATACACAGGAAGCCTCGGACACAGTAAGAGGAGGCAGGTGATTCAGGTCAGGGTCTGTTAGGTACAGTTGGTCCCTCTCTGCCTATTTCCAGATAACTGGCAAAGAAACTGGGCACAGGTAATTCAAGCACAAGGGAAGATTCCAGACACCACGGTCCCTAGGCAGGGTGGTTCCTCTGGGCGAGGATAGCAGGTCAAAACAGCCATGTGCTAGATTGGCCAGTAGAGGGGGCAAGAAGGTCAGCATGGTGCTTCCCACTGGCTCAGAGACCAAGGAGGTCATCCTGTAGTCCTAGTTGCTATAGACTTTGGGTTGGGCTAGAACAGAAACAGTGAAAGTGTGTGTGTGTGTGTGTGTGTGTGTGCATGTGCGTGTGTGTGTTGGGGGTACAGGCTGATGCTGTGTACTGGTTCATTCAGTCTGCACAGTAACAGAGCATCTTCTGTGCACCTAGTGCTCTGCTGGGGGAAGTACAGCTGTAACTAAGACAAAAAAGGTCCCCTTGCTGGACTAGTGATAGAGACAGATGATAAGCACGGAAACTGTTAATTTAACAGAGGTATGAGTTATGGAGAAAGTAATGCAATGTTACATAACGGGATCTGTTTCATTTTCTTTTAATATTTTTACTTTCTAACAATAATTGTATATATTTAATTGTGTATCTTTATGGTGTACAGGGCTTCCCTGGTGGCCCAGATGGTAAAGAATCTGCCTGCGATGCGGGACACCTGAGTTTGACAACTGGGTCGGGAAGATCCCTTGGAGCAGGAAATGGCAACCCACTCCAGTATTCTTCCCTGGAGAATTCCATAGACAAAGGAGCATATTGGGCGATAGTCCATGGGGTCGCAAACAGTCGGAGATGACTGAGCGACTTTCACTTACATTACTTATAAGGTGTACATGATGATTTCATGTATGTATATACACAGCAGAGTGATTACTACCGTCAAGCTAATTAATGTCTTCTCCATGCATTTACATGTATGATGAGAGCATCTGAAATGTACTCTCTTAGCAATTTCTAGTTTTCAGTACTTTTTTTTTGGCTGTGCAATGAGGGTTGCTGGATGTTAATTCCCCAACCAGGGATCGAACCCAGACTGACAGCAGCAAAACACGGAGTCCTAACCACTGGACCACCAGAGAGTTCCCAGTACAGTCTTATTAACTATAGTTATCATGCTGGACCCCAGACCTCTAGATTACTTGTCCTACATAACTGCAGCTTTGTGCCCTTTGACCGATATTCCTATACCCCCCCACCCCGCCTCCAGTCCCCAGTAACCACAGTTCTGCTTTCTGCCTCTACATATTCAACTTTTAAATTTATTTTTAATTTTTTTAAATGTGTGTGACAGTTTATTATTTTCATTTAAATAATATTTCAGTGTAATAGTCTAAGCATTTAAAAATGTAATTCTTTTGAAAACAATACAATTTATTTATGTAAACCCAAGGTTATAATCTGAAAATGACCAGATTTAAAAAAATTTTTTAATTGAAGTATAGTTGACCTACAATATTGTATTAGTTTCAGGTGTTCTGTGTAGTGATTTGATATTTATATACATTGAGGATTGATCACCACAATAAGTCTAGTAACCATCTGTTACCTTATAAAATTATTGCATTATTGACTATATTCCCTGTGCTGTATATTACAGTCTGTACCTGTGAATCTGTTTCTGTTTTTGTTTTTTAGATTCTACAGGTAAGTGAAACAATATGGTTTTTGTCTTTGATTATTTCACTTAGTGTAAAATCTAACAGGTCCATCCATGTTGTCGCAAATGACAAGATTACATTTTTTATACCTGAGTAATATTCCATCACACACACACGTGCGTGCACGCCAAATCTTATTTATTCATTCATCTGTCAATGGACATTTAGGTTTCTATGTCTTGGCTATTGTAAATGGTGCTGCTATGAACATTGGGGTATAGGTGTCTTCAAATTTTAAATAATTTAAGTAACTACATGCAGCTAGTGGCTAACACAGTAAGCTCTAGAAGATAACTGGTATAGGACTACTTAGAATATAAGAAGTTGGCTTTTTAGATTTCCTTGACTGATAGAGTATTTCAGTTACTTAGTTCTCAGTTCTTGCCATTTGGTGTGCATTGAAGTATTTAGCAATGTCCTTCTCTTGGAGAAGAAATGAGCAAATGAAAATTTAAATAAGCACAAAAGAGACAATACAGACCTATAAGAGATTTAATGATACACTTTAATCTTAATCACATAAGAATTATGTGTGAAAGACTTCCAAAGAGCAGATGGTCCTTCAGGTTGCAGTATTGGCAGGAAGATGGGAGGCCTGTGCTGGTTAGTGAACTTGCTATTTGTTTTAAATTGGTGGAGAGAAAGGAAAGGAAACGTCTGGAGAAGGTGGGATGACAGTAAGACTAGTTGGGGTGGGGAGGAGCCTGCAAGATGCGCTCGGACCCAGTGAGGTGGCTCTCTGCTGCAGTGAGGAGGGGGTTTGGCAGCATGAAATCCAGCTGGCAGGCGGTTTGGAAGGTAAGTCACCCATGTCATAAGGTAAGTCATCCATGTAGCTGCCTTTGAATCGATGGCTAAAATTGCTTGGGATGCATCTTGTAGGCAGCAAACATCAGAATCATCGAAAGATTCTGAACTAAAGAGAAATGTAAAGAATCTTGCTGTGGGAAAAGAAGTTTGGCAGATGTATGACGAACAGAGAAACAAATTACATAGCTTATAGGCAAGGGAGAGGCTTCTGAACTGGAAGGGCGGCTGCAGAGGTAAGACATCCTGGAGGTACACTGACAGGTGTTGCTGATGGATTAGAACAGAACTGAGGAGGGGCTGCAGAGAGGTGGGTCAAGGTGCAAGTCTGGGATGGGTTGGCTGGGAGTGGCAGGGGAGTCCAGCAAAATGCAGAGGCAGTGGTGAGGGACAGGGGTAGAGGCACTGAAGGAAGAAGCCTGGAGTGAATGAGAAAGTTTCAGGGGAAAACAGTCACCTGATGATGGTTACTTGGCTACCAAGAAACCACTGGCTACCAAGAAATAGTAGCTATTAACACATTTTAGTGCTGTATTTACAAATTTGCTTAAACCAATACTTCATCTGAAAACTTTAGTATATTCTTATGTGATGACCAGAGCATATTTAACATGTTCACATGCATGTGGTATGTAGAAAACTGACGCATCATGATCATTAGCAAGGATGCCAGGGTTGTAAGTCTCCGCCCTCCACCTGGCCCCAACCTCTGTTAGCTCCATCTTTTATTAGGGTGAACAAAAGCAGACACAAGAAGCACTAGTCCAGCCACCTGAATTCAATATCACAGGGTCAGGGTAATCAACTTTTACACCAATTAAATCTGGTGCTTTTTCTTCCTTACGAGAATCGAAAGTGGAGAGTTAGAGTGGTGTCAGCCATGTTCTTCCTGTAATCATCATCAAATCTCTCATTCTGGGCCACGGTGAAGTGGTTCTTCCAATCCCCGACGACCCCTGAAACAGTCGTGGTGGGGAGTCAGTACTGTGGTGGGAGTGGGGTAGGAGAGTGTAGGGGACAGGGTGCTGGGAGGGGTGGTTCCCTGTTCTGCTCTTGTATGAGGAGTTCTACCCCCTGACCCGGAGACATTCCTCTGGCTGGCCCGGCAGGGTCTCCTCCAGGAGGGAGGAAGGGTCACCTGTCTGGTGTGTGGGTCGGGAGATTGCAAGGTTGTATGAGCAGCATGGCTGAGGGCCACTCCTGTGTGTCCTTCCTGCCCACTGAAGCAAGGTCTGTGCTAACATGATGTTGCCCGCAGAACAAACAAGCCCTGCTAGTGGAGGGACTGCACATGCCGTTTTGAGAAAGGAAGATTCCCCCCAATTCTCCAGTTGGAATCCCTGTTACCTTTCCCAGGCTGGTTTTTCTCTATACTGTCATCTATTATCCTGCATGTTTTTTTCATTTGCTTCCTGTTTACGGCTAGAATATAATTTCCACGAGGGCTGGAACTTTCCTGTGTTTTGTTCACTGCTCTGAACATTACCTAGAACAGAGTCTGGCACACAGTAACCACTTGGGAAGTAGTTTTGAATGAATGGACGTTTCTGACAGCCTGGAACTCTCTATAAAGTGGATCCTTTGCTCCATCTGACTCGATTCTGTATCATTTCACCTTATCAGCCAGAACTCCAGAGGGAACAAGAAGATAAGCCATTGGACCTAGACACCAAATCTCACTTTCCACTTGTGGCTGAACGTTAATTTCATCTGTGGTTTCTTAAATTGTTCTTTTCCCAGAATCCTTCATTATCAATCTTATTTTTCTTTTCTATAGAAAGAGAACTCCCCAGACTATGAAATATTGGACAGTTCCTTCAGGATTATGGCCAAAAGGAAACATTGAAAACCTTTTCTCATGAATGGAGAAATCAAGTGGTTCATGAATTTAGCCGGAATCGACGTGTAGTTTGCCATCGGGTTCTGCTTCATGACACTAAATGAAGTGTGGTGAACAATTTTATCCAGAACTTTATCATCTAAGCTCTTTCCAATAAATTCTGCCAGCTTCTGAATTTCATGCTTTGGGTTCTATGAGTGGAGTCAAAAGAAAAGACTTGGTATAAGATAATGTGTATCAATGAATAATAGTCTTAAAAAATATTGAAATGAATTAATAGTAATCAGTAAAATGCCACGAGTTAAAATTTTTAAAAATCGTATCTCACACACGTTCAGCTTTTCAGAAAGGACTCATTTAGATGTGGTGACTCGTACTGTTCTCTGTATTAACTGGAGTCTTTACACTGTTCTTGCTCTAACATGTCAACTGGGTCACGTCAGTAAGATGCTTGAAACACAGTGACCTGGAGTGCGTGGGACATGCTCCATGGGGCAGTATGTCCAGGGTCAGGTCCAAGTGTCCTGCTCCAGCCCATCTGATAAATGCCCCTGGGGGAGGCACTGAACTGATGCTGAGAGCAGACGTCACAGCAGCTTTGGGGACCTGGCCACAGCGGCCTGTTTCCTGCTTCTGTCTGTGATGTACTTTTCAAAAATCAGGCTCTCAGTTACAAATCCAAGAACACAGATTGTTGTTCTGTACAGACCCAGTGGAGTCACAAAAATGCTGGGTAGATGACCATTTACCATCAGTTCTCATGACACCACCTCCTTCAGTCCTGATAGCATCTCTTGGAGCGTGTATTACTATCTCCTCTCTAGTGACTTCTAACATCAAAATTCCTAGATGTCAAGCATCTTCACAAAGAAGAATTGCCAGCAAGCATTAAGCCAGAACTTGGGTTCGAGAGTCCATAGTGTTTCCCACTGCACTGAATTTCTTAAACTGTTTCTTGAAACCCTGTCATTCCTCTAGCACTAATGAAAAAAAAACAAAATATACTACAAAGTTTTTCCCTTCTAATGGGAATTTTAAAATACACACCGGGGGAGAAAAGGCATCACTCATGTTTGCCATCCTCTACCTGTAAGGAAAAGGTGTCCCACAGCCCAGAGTTCCAGGGAGCTCAGGTGAGATTGTGATATGGAAACTCATGATGTGCCAGGTGCGCTGTGATGGGTGGATGGGGCAGCCAGTGAAACACAGCACTTCCTGTGCCCGACTGCAGTCTGAGGGTCCCCGATGGGGCGCACACATTGCAACTGAAGTATTTATGGTCAAATGGGGACTTGTTAGGTGGCCTGGTCCTCACCTCCTTCATGTCCTCGTAGAAAAGGTAGAGGATGCGGTGCTGGTCTTTGGCGTGCCACCAGCCCTTCACGTGGTTGTACCAGGAGCCCCAGCACACTGCAGGATGGGACCAGAAACAGGGCAGTGAGTCACAGAAACCCAGTGACAAGTACACCGCCCACCCCCACCCCCGCCCCGGGAGGAGGATCCTGAAGGGAGGGAGGAGGTCACCCTGGCGATTCCTTCATGGTAAAGCCAGCTAATGGAAGTCAGTCCTGAATATTCACTGGAAGGACTGATGTTGAAGCTGAAACTCCAATACTTTGGCCAATACTAATGCGAAGAGCTGACTCATTTGAAAAGACCCTGATGCTGGAAAAGATTGAAGGCAGGAGGAGAAGCGGATGACAGAGGATGAGATGGTTGGATGGCATCACTGACTCCATGGGCCTGAGTCTGAGTAAACTCTGGGAGTAGGTGATGGACAGGGAGGCCTGGTGTGCTGCAGTCCATGGGATCGCAAAGAGTTGGACACAACTGAGCAACTGAACTGAACTGAAAGCCAGTAGAGTCCCTGCTGTTCTCAGGAACTGACACCTTCTTTGTAGAGTGCTTGAGGATTTTGAGACAGGATGGAAACCAAGCTCTCACCTTTCCCAGCCAGAAAACTCTCAAAGTATTCTTCCCAGGTGCCTGGAGCAGGAAGGATTCTATTCATCCTGTGGAAGTGGTAATAAGACACCATGTTGTCCTTGGGGTTCCTGGCTACGTAGATCATCTAGGAGCGGAGAGGGGAAGAGGAGAAGCAAAACCAGGATTAGAACAGCAGACAATGATGTGAGGGTGGGCGTATTCCACACAGGTGGGTTTTCCTGATGCTGTGTTTCTGTGCTGTGGCTTTTGTGGGAGGTGGAAAGGATTCATGTCAATCTGCATATTGATGATATGTGACCAGTGGACTTTTTTGTTTTGTTTCTGTTTTTAATTTAACAAGTGAAGTGTTTTAAGAGGAAATTGAAGACCAGTCTGAGGTCCTTCTAAGGGGCCAACTCTGCATTCCTTTGGCTCCCTACCTTACAGTTCTTCTCCAGGAGAGATGGTGGCAGCAAGTGGAAGGGGAGGTGTGTCTTCAATATCCGGGGTGAGGTCATTGCATTCGCTTGTTCCAAGCCTGTGAAATTAGTTTTCAACAACTTTCCATTATTTTTCTCCATTTGCTTCAGAAACTTGCTGCCCCATTTTTACTACATTAGGAATACTCCAGATCACCTGTAACTCTCTGTGGCTTTCATATGAGAGAATGGGGTTTTTGGCTAGAGCAGTTTTTGTTTTTGCCACATAGTTTGTGGGATTCTAGTTCCCCAGCTGGGATTGAACTCATGCTCCCTGCAGTGAGAGTACCATTTTAACCACTGGCCACCAGCAAAGTCTCTAGAACAGCTTTTAACCATAACAATAAACCAAATAAATAAGAACCTAAAAAATTCAAACCCTTCCATCATAAAATTATCTTACCTAGGCTCATCTTTGTGGAATGAATTTAATTTCTAATTGGAGAATCAAAACTTACTTTTATTTTAAAACTTTTTTAATATTTATTTTTACTTTAATATTTATTTATATTTACTTGGCTGTACCAGGTCTTAATTGTGGCATGTGCATTCTAGTTTCCCTAACCAGGGATTGAACCCAGGTCCCTTGCACTGAGAGCTCGGAATCTTAGCCACTGGACCACCAGGTAAGTCCCTTAACTTACTTTTGTATGAACAGAAACTCAGTTAGAAAATGTCTGAAGTATAGCCATGGCCAGACAGGGAAAAAGAGTCCCGAAGTCTATTGGTGGTGGTTTGAACAGCTGGGATTCTGAAAGGGCTACTGTGCTTAGTCACTCAGCTATGTCCACCAGGCTTTTCTGTCTATGGGATTCTCCAGACAAGAATACTGCAGTGGGTTGCCATTTCCTTCTCTAGGGGATCTTCCCAACCCAAGGATGGAACCCACATCTCCTGCATTTGCAGGTGGATTCTTTCCCACAGCACCACCTGGGAAGCCTGAGAGCGTTGCTGGCTAGTAAAAATTTTGGAGTACATCTAGACCTGGGGTCAGGTGCAGCCGTGCTGTACTCACCAGATCCTAGGGAAGGGACTATCCACTCGATGAAGGGAAATCGCTCGTGCGTGGGTGCCCTCTGGCTTTGGTCGGCATCACCCCCGTTTTGTATCAAGTCCACAATCTCCTGCGTCCACGTTGTTCCTTGTTCCATGGGTAAGAATAGGAGGCACAGACATTATCTCCCGCATTTCTTAGGATGTGAGCAAATACTTCTTAGGGCAACTGTGTAAACATTGAAGCCTGCTTTATAGTGGAATTCAGAAAACATCCTTCTTTGTTTATATCTTGTGTTATCATAATGTGGGATTTTTAGGCAAAGACTCAAGTTTAGAGTGGATATAAGATTCCTAAATAGACAGTTCTTCTTTTCTCTGTCACAGCCATTCATTAGGGTTGTCTTGCTACTGAGTTGGTGGCATTGTTCCTCAGAGTGGAGTGGAGTGGAGTGGAAGTGGAAGTGGAGTGGAAGTCTTTCTCACCCAACTGTGATGTGGGGTCATCCCTGTGTAATCTTCAGACTGTTTCCCAAGTGCACAGCCTGAGATTGGTACCCAGGAGGCTTTGCTGTGTGTTGGCTAAATGAGCGAGTGATTAGGGCTTAGTCTCCGTGTTCACGCTGTCCTGTTTTCCCTGAAGGTTAGAAAGTGCATTCCTAGGCTCCTTTGCCACTGAGATTCTGAACACCCTGAGACTGATTGACCTTCTGAGAGT